ATATATTCTAATTTATATTTATAGAAAATATATATATACCTTAAGAAAAGAGAATGAAGTTAGTTAATAAAATATATTTTTACTGATTCGCACCTCGCGCCATATCGTTAGTGTCCTTATTCTTTTCATGGTGCCCTGGCTCTGGGTGGTGGACTAGAAAAAATGACTACCTAATCTGCTGAGATGACTATCTAACCTATGGAGACTGCTTAACCTATGAGGATGACTACCTATTATGACTACCTTATCTATTGTGACTGCCTAATCTATTGATATGACCAATGCCTAATCTACTGAGATGACTATCTAATCTATGGAGATGACCAAGAATCAAACCTTAGCACGTTCTTTCATGCAAAAAGCTTCTTTCTTCATGGTGTCCTGGCTCTGGATGTTGGACTGGAATATGATAACCAGCACCTAACCTAATGTGACAACCTAGAAAGAACTGATATGGAAGTTGAACAGGTTATGAATTCTATTTTGTGAGACCAATGATGATTACTTATTATTCTAATCCACGTAAGAAGAAAAGTTATCATAAATTAAGATTTTATGTCAGGATAAAGGCATGTTATAAATTTTTTAAATCATAATGGATATATTTGAACACACAAAAAGCCTTTAAAAAATGATTTACAATTTCTTAGTGAAATATTGATACTAAAATGTAAAATCATAATGGATATAGACCACACAAAAAGCCTTTAAAAAATTATTTACTTAAATTCTTATTGATATTTTTTGATTTCTTGAACGATGACCAATTGTTGTAAATTAACAACTAAACCTAAAGATGAATTCTTAGATATAATTAAATATAAACCAATAAAAATCGTAAACAAGAAGATAAAACTTTAATTCTAAATATATTAAAATGTAATTAAAACATATGAATTAAAAGGGATTGATTTAAATAACCCTAATATGATAAAATTGTTTTTGAAATAAAGCTTTTGAATATGTTACATCTTCATTTTAGATAAATATTTAAATGATGTGATGAGATGATTTTCTAAAAATTATCTTATGAAGAATTTTTATTAAAAATAACACTTTTTGAATTAAAACTAGGGTGTGAAATTTAAATTTTTTTTTTAAAGAGGGAAATGTGAATAATATTTTATTTGCATATTTTAACCTCGGAGATTGAAAATAAATAAAAATAAATTAAATACTAAAACGCAAAAATTAATTAAACACTAAAACGCGAAAAAATAAAAGACATTAAAACGCGAAAAATTAAAACGCTAAAAATATAACAATTTTATTGATTTATCATTCTTCACTTATTTTTATATTTTGATGAACTATTATTTCTTATTATTCGCAACTTATTGATGATAATAACAATTTTGAAAAATAATAATAACAACAACTGAGTACTACCAAATAAGCTATGATTAACGGAATACTACCAAGCAAGCTATGATTAATGGAGACAACTTACGATAAGGATATCAAGCTTGCGATTGGAACAAACCAACGTACAAAATCGATTTAAACAAACCAACGATTAATGACTTATGCAACATTGACAACCAAAACGATAAACCACTTGAACAACAAACTCTCTATGACTTCTTAGATGAAACTATGGGAAGGCTTGTAGAAGAGGGAGAATGTTACATTGTAGGAATTAATAAATTAAAATATTGGTTATTGAATAGTAATATATTTTAATTTATATAGCATACATTCATTATATTTTTATTTTGTTAGGAATTCAAATTCAACTTGTATTACTTTTTATGAATTCAACTTTATCTTTTCAATTCAACTTTTTATTTTTGTAATTCAACTTATATTACTTATTATTTTTCGTAACCTTACTTTTTGTTTTTATATATATTCTAATTTATATTTATAAAAATATATATATACCTTAAGAAAAGAGAATGAAGTTAGTTAATAAAATATATTTTTACTGACTCCGCGCCATATCGTTAAGATTCTTATTCTTTTCAATTTCATATGATGATTAGTTCTAATAAATTGTATATGATGATTAATTATAATAAATTTTATATGATGATTAGTCCTAATAAATTTTATATGATTATTAGGTCTAATAAATTTAATGCTCTAAAAAATATCATTTCAATATTTGAAAAGTTATCCAGCCCCCCCTAGAAAATTCCTAGCTATGCTTGTTAAATACCATTACCGTGGGGTGTTAATAAATTTGCAGGCTCACGTTTTGTATTAAGACCCTCATAAGACTACGACTAATTATTGATTCAATAGCTGCTGGCTGGAATATTTTTCTTGACTATATACAATCAAGACCACATCTCCCTTTATAATTAACCAAATTTTTATATTTATTAATATATGTGGTAGCAGTGGTGTCACAGGGGAGAGACGTGCTCGAGTCCCTTGAAAAATCTTGAAAGTTTGTATTTTCATTTTAAAAAAGTCATTTAGAAAATAATTTTTTTAAAAAAATTTTAAGTAATTTTGAGCCCCCTGATATTATAAAGGCTAGTCAAGCATCTGTGTGGTCGCACAATGTCAGATTAATTTTGAATCATATGCCCACCCTTAATTACTTATTAGATGAGAGGTTGACTAAGTTATTATTTTAGAATTTTTCCATTCATGACTACTAGTATAATAAATATTTGTAAAGGTTGAATATGTTCCAAAAAAGTATTGAATGTAAGTATTTAAAAAACTTTATAATTCCAAGTTAAATTGTTTGATTTATAAAGATTGTCGTCAAAATAGCCTTGACAATGCCAAAAATTTTTGAGTAGTTAGCGCCGAATTTAAAAGAGTAATTTTGAGAGTAATAAAGGAAAATATCATAGCGATTGTCAAAAATAATTTATAAGGTTCAATAAAAAATGAGCACATATCCTACCTCAAACCTGTAGATTATATAGCAAGACTAGACATATCCAATGCCTTTAATTCTATTAAAGGAATAAAATGATCGATACTTTCTTTTAAACATTCTCTGGCTCCACAATTACATCCATCTTAGCTATGGCATTCTTTCCTTACTCAAATTTAATGATTATATTATCAATTCTGCAGAAGGCCTCCAACAGGGTGACCCATTAGGACCACTACTTTCTATAACCTTAAACACCCAATAAGCGATATTGCTCTCTCATGCAAACTCTACACGTTTGGTACCTTGACGATTGTATTATATCGGGGACCATTTCTTCAATTCAGAATTGTCTAGATATAATCATCAAACACTTTGATGAATTTAATTTATCCTTAAAATATAAATAAATGCGAAATTTATTTAGCCATATTAGGTAACTTTAGACGGACACCCTTACAAGATTTTTGTATATTAGGAGCCCCATTGGGAGGTGCAGAGGGAGTTTTTAATTTTTTAAATAATCACCTTCAATCGCTATTCCCCAAACTTTCGATCTTAAAAAAATTACTCATCCATCAAACATATTACATTCTCAAAAAGGCCCTCTTAATACCACAAATCCAGTATTGTTTAAAAACTTCTAGTGCCTTCTCTTTTGAAATTCTTTTAAAAGAATACTAACAAAAGATACTACAAATGATGACAGAGTTATCAAACTCGATTTAACTCATGGCTTCAAGAAACTCTCTCTTGTAAATCCAGAGGACTAGGCCTAAGATCGGCATTAATTATAGCCCTTGTTTCCTTCATCTCATCAACCTTATCAGTAAAAAATAATACCTCGCAAATTATTACCATCGATAAAGATAATTTATTAGATGAAGCCTTACGTTGTTGGAATATTAATGTCTTACCAAACACTACCCCACCAGATTCAATGAAACAAAAAGATTGGGATCAAGGATTGGTATCTCGTTCTTTAGCTTACCTCGACTGGAGCTTTGATCACCACCCCTAAGATCACTTAATTCCAACAACTCTGGCATGAATGGTTAGATTCATATCCCAGCATTTTAAATAACCAGCTAATAGAACGACGCTTTTCGTTATGCAATCAATTTAAGCTTGGGCGTACCTTTCCTAAACCATTATAATTGCATTAAATGCAATCAATTGGCAGACACGTATGGGAAAAACGCTCTCCACTGTAAATTGCCGACATGATAAAATAAATACAATAATAGCTTCTTTTTTAAATAAAGCATCCCTGTATTTTAGAACCGACATCTTTTTTAAATAAAAAACGTCCTGACGGCAAATCAATCGTACCTTTTTTTTCAATGGAAAGCCTTTAATGTGGGATTTTACCTGCATTGATCCCATAGCCATATCTAATAATCTGCATGATCCCCTTAATAGAGCTGAATCTCTATAAATAAAAAATACTCGCACCTAATAGGTTACAACCACTTTGTTCCCATAGCAGCTATATCAACCTGCTCTTTGGACAAGCGGCATTAGATCTCTTCAAAATAATATCCAAATCAATCAAAAAATCATACTTTTCTCCATTTTATAAACTCAAGCAAAAAATAGCCATCTCCTTAACCAAATCTAACTGTCAAATATTCAAAACATCTTGGCCCGACCTCGCCACCTGATTTTTATTTTTATTTTTATATTTTACCATATACTTTATATTATACCATCCATGCTAATTTTTAAATAATAATATTTTATCATATATGTATATGAATTTTGATAAAAATATAGAATTTTTTTTATACAAATTCTTTTTTTCTAAAAAATTTTTAATTATCATTGTTATTTAAAAAATTATTAACTTTCACTTGTTTTCTTTCATATTCTTCTTTATAGTAATTTTTATACATTATTGGGAAAGGGGAGAGTGGAGTGGTTTAGGAAAAAAATTGTTGTTTGCTTAGAATAATATTTAAGTGAACAAACAAATTTGAGATAGAACCACTCCTCCTTCTCCGACTACGCGTCTAATATGATAACAATATTAAAATTTATGATTTGAAATTTGTGGAAAATTAATAATATTCTATGGTCAGAGAAAACTATTAACTTATATAGATATATGTTTATTGTATAAATAAATATATAATCAATAAGCCTTGGTGAAACAATAATTTTTTTGTAAATATTTTTTTAACATTTAAGTCATATATCCATTTGTTGTAAGTACTGGTGGTTGCTGAAATTTTCGGAATAGCGCATACAATAACATTATAAACATGGTAATTAATTGTATAGCACATTATAATATATTTTTTTATTAGCCCCAAAAATTGTTTGGAGGATACCTCTCATCCAATAGACACACAAATAATTTATTTTCTAACAGTAATAAGCCTGATGATAATATAAATCCTAATCTAAACATTATAAAATCTTTCAATTGTCCAGACGATAAAGGAGATAATAAAATAGATAGATCTTTATCAAATAAAAATAAATTTATAGAAAACAATAACTTAGATTTTAATGGTTATGGTAATTATAACTCTGATTGCAAATCAAATGAACATTTTCAAAATTCAATTGATACTGATTATCTTGCTCATGATATAAAACCTAGACTTAAAGGACGTCCTAAATCTAATAAAAAAATATCTGATAACCCAAAAAATCTACCAAAAGTTGTATTATACAATGTTTTTAATGATAGATCATTATTAAAAAAAGTTTCAGTTAATTTTGATAATGAAATAACAGATGACATAAATGAAGCCACTAATCAAAACAATGATATACCTTGCAATTGGTTAGTGGGTGATTTAATATGGGCTAAACTCTCTACATATCCTTGGTGGCCAAGCATGATAATATATGATCCAAGTTTAGGAATATTTACTAGGACTAAAAGTTAAATATTAATGAATTTAATAAATTAATACTTATATCGCAAGTTTATATGAATATTTTATATTGAAATATTAGAAATTTAAATATATTCCAATTACTTTAAGAATGAAAATATTTATTTAAAAGATATCTATAGAAAGCATATATAGTTATCAGAGACCTAAAGGCCCATACCTAAACTTTGCCTAGGCCAATTTTTATAAAATAAATTTAAATTATAGCAATTTAGAGCCAATGCCCCCCCCCCCCTCTCATAGCAAGCATTTTTGAAAAAACATAGTTACATTCATTGTGAATTGGATAATATTCTATTTCAAATTGTATATATTCTATTCTAAATATTACCAATAAGTTAAAATTGAAATATTTATTTCTTGTGTATTAATATTATATCTGACAAATTTAAATTTTCTTACATTTTTTTAAACCTTAAGCACTGATGGATATAAGAAAATTTTATCAACCAAAAAAAATCTATTTAATTTATCTTTACTAATAACTTTGATTAGAAAATTTAGAGTGTATGAAATGTTCAGATATCCATATAGACAGAATTTGCTTGATATAATTATTTCTGAGACTTTTTATTATAGGAAAAAAGAAACTACAAAAAGCTTGCCAACAAGATGTAGCCTTATATCAAGCTCAGAATTTTTTGGATCTAGAAGAGCCTATTTTGTATGCACTTGGATAAATATCAAAATCACCTGACAAAATATTTCACCTGAAGCTGATACATTATTAGATTTAATATTACTGCCAATAGGTTTCATGAAATGTATTAATAAATTGTTTATTACATAACAATTTTATTTTATGTAATATTTTTCAAAAAAATGAATTTAGCTGAAGTTATGAAAATCCTGAATATTATTATATTACAACTTAAATAACCAAGTAATAATATAAACCAAGAGATATATGTATTTAAATGTTGAGGTGAAAACGAAATTATATTTTGAAATTCACAAACCTTGACTTTCACCAACAAAGAAATCATTCTAATATTAACATGGACTCAAATGAGGATTACAATAAAATAAGCATTTTAATTCCATTTTTGGATTTAATTTTAACTCAATCAAATGCACAATTTGTGATTCATCAAATTGCTCTATCCAATTTACAAATACTATATCTTATATCTCCCTCTGATCTGAGGATATATCAAATCTTGATATTGGAAAATTAAATATGTAGCTAAATTTTATTCACAGGATATAAATATATCTGAAGGCCAATTAATTTCAGGATATAAATGGTATAAAAGATTCATTTTTATAGTAATCCTCAAAGAAACAGTGGAAGCTTTGCATATTTTAAAATATATTTTATAAGCTTTCCAAATATATTAAAATTACTGTATATTTTGGCAATGATACCAAATAGTAAGCATAATTGAGAGGACTTTTTCTTCATTACAGACAATAGTCTATATCAAAATTATGACATCTTGAAATTGATCAAATAGACTAGCTTTACTTTTCAAGATATTCCAAATACAGAATAAATAGTAATCATCAAGAAGATTAAATTTCATTTATAAATGATATTTTGATTAACTTTTTAAATAATTATAAAATGTTTAATTTTATACTATTGTGATTTATATATTAGTTTATATAGCTATAATATTTTTTAACCATATTATATTTTCTTTTAATATTTTATATTTTCCTATATGTTATTATTTGTGTTTGAAATTATCATATTTTAAATATGATTTGTTCTAATAAATTTTATATGATGATTAGTTCTAATATATTTTATATGATGATTTGTTTTTGAATAAATTTTATATGATGATTAGTTCTAATAAAGTTAATATGATGATTAGTTATAATAAATTTAATGCTCAAAAAATATTATTTTAATATAAAAAATTATCCCTGTAGAAAATTCCTGGCTACATACCTGCATATAATGGAGTATTTGATATTATTTCTCAAAATTACAATTTTATTTTGAAAAATTTGGAAAATAAAATTAATGATTCAAAATGATGAAATTTTAAAAATTTGGGGCCAAGCCATAAAATAATAAAAAATCTAAGCATGGATAAAAAATTTAAAAAAAAATCTGGGTCAGAATTGGGACTAAAATGTTGTTCTCTACATGTCTAATAATTATATTAAATTATATATATAATAATCATATTTGTCCTATATCTTTCTTTTAATTTTATTTTAACCTTGTTTCTAAAAAATATTTGTTCTTGAGTAATTATAAAATCTAATATCTTGCATTACATTTTTTGCTAAAATTTTGAATGTAAATTAAAAGTTATATACAATAAGGATTTTGTTTAACTTTCTAATTTTTTATATAATATATTTTTAGAAAAGAACAGGGAATATCATGTTCAATTTTTTGGTGAAAATGCCAGAGCTTGGGTTTATGACAAAAATATTTTGGCTTTTGATAAACCATTATCTTATCAAGATATTTTGACTGTTGTTGATAAAAGTAATCCTAAAGCCTTGCAAAAATCTACAAAATCATTTAATAATACCCACAAAAGGGTAAAGACAAAGCAATTTCAGTTAGAAAATTTAGATGATTTTGATAATAAAGGCCCACATTTTAACAAAGGAGGAGATGAAGGTTTGATCAAACAAGATAATAAAAAGGGTAAGGATGATGATACTACTACTAATGACATTAAAAATGAAGTGCTTAATCAACCCATGGAAATTGACTTAAATAAACCTCTCTTTGACAAATCCTCATCAGAAATAATATCAAAAGCATCTTCTGATGATTTATTTGTAAGTCAAGAAAACAATCATAAAAATATTACCCCAAATGAAAATAATACAGAATTTAAAAATAATGGTAAAGCTGATTTAGATAATGAAATCAAAGATGACATGCCATCTACATCTAGCCAATATCACCTCAATGGTCTACTCTCTGGCGACAATAAATTAACCACAATTTCCACCCTGAATGATGATTATGAATTATCCACATTATTAAGCGAAGGAGTTCCTACCAAATTTAGAAGTTTATGGAGCCTGGGACTAGAGATTGCTGAAAGAGCCCTACCCCTCAACAGAATGGAAAGAAGACAAACACTGACTATCGATTTTCCTTCCCCCAATCGTTACAAAAAACATGAAGGCATATCTTCTCAAATCGATTTCTACCACGATTCTTCTTACTGTGACACCAAAGCACCACTTTTTAATGATTCTCAGAATAGTATTAGTTACAAAGGTACAACACTCTATAATAAGAGTGACATAAATGGCGGTAAAAAGGTCAGGAAATACCGAAAACCAAATTCGAAAAAATCAGGTGATATTGATTATAATGGATTCGATGCCATGCCTCCCTTATTGATCAATTCCAATAATATAACCATTAGGAAAAATATTGAAAACCATCATTTTGACATCGGGGAAAAGTTGATTTCAGGAAATTCTGAAAACTGTTCAACTGAAATGAGCAAATCGTTAAATTCTCGCGAATCCCGTTTACAGAATAGCAACTTCGCCGATTATTCCTATAACTCTAATATCAACGATTCGAGTAATAACTTGTTGTATATCACAGAAACTCCACATATGACCAACTCGTTATTCATTCTATCAATAATATATGGTTGTGCCTATATTAAATACCGGATCGGGGGGTCGATATTTAGAATCCATATTTTCATCCTTTTTGGTCATCTTGTAATTTTATATACAATTATATAATATTTTTTATTTTATACATAATTTTATAATAATTTAATAAAAGAAATCTAGATTTGATTTATTTATAATATTTAAATGAATTATTTTAAAAACAAGAAAAGTGGCTAACTTAAGATTTAGCACAATTTAAATTACCCAAACATGGTGATTTTGACCACAAAAAGTTTAGACTTCTATTGGCGAAATTTCGAGGCTTAGGTAATTTTTAGCTAAATCTTGATTTAACCGTTTTTAAAGATTGGTTAAATGGAGCTATTTAACAGCACTACATACAGCCATAAACATTACTTATTTTCAATGAGATTATTAACTTTTGAAATATAAATATACAAAATACTCCTAAGAGACAAGCAATTTTTGGCAATTATATTTTCAAGAAGCTCACAAGTTATAAAAGAGCTTAATTTCTTCTTCTGATTGCATAATCTGATCATTTATGAAGTATTTATTTTGATTTGCTTTTAGGAAATTTTAAACACATAATCACGATCTCAAAAAATTAATTTACTAAACAGCGTTTTACTTGTTTCTTTCCACTTCATCTTCGTTGCCACCTTCGTCAATTATTTTAATAACTTTTAAGGTTATTCTGTAACTAGTTTTGTTAGCAAAGCTCTCCCCTCATTTCTATCTCTTGATAATTTTGTGAGTTAAGTTCTCTAGCTATCTTCAAAATTGTCAATCCATAAATTTTCCCCATCGCATCCTATATTTTTCGAATATTAATACAAAACATCGATCTGATATTTAGTTAGATTTTTATATGCCACCTATCTTTTTGAACCAATGCAATATGATAAAAAAAATCAGTATTTTTTTATTCAAATAAGAACTAATTTTACCGATGATTAAATGTATTTTCTTTTTTTATTCGAAAAAGTTAATCATTTTATTTAAAATATGGGCAATGTTTATACCTGAATGTGACTTGTTAAATATTTTTAAATTCCTTTTTTTATTGCAGATAATATAAAAGAAATAATATCATAATAGCTACTCTATCTTTTTAAAATAATTCGATTTTTTTGAAATATTATAAAGAAATTGAATTTTGATTCCTTTATTTTATTATTATAATGAAATTATATATAAAATAAAAAATATTATATAATTATATATTACAATCATAAAATAACCAAAGATAATAAAAATATGGCATCAGTTCTTGGATCATTTTACATCAAATCGATTACGATTTGGCATACCACTTTTGATTTTTACGAAATTTTAATGCAAACTAAAGTTTGTGTAGCCTATTTAGACACTATTCAGCCTCCTACTTGTACTTTTGGATATATCAGTGGTAGAAGCATGAGAAATGATTTTTTATGAGTATCGGATTTCATTTAATCAATGTTTAATTAAAAATATGCTTAAAACTGATTGAAAATAAAGTACATTTTTCATTTTTAGAAAATAATTAAAAAAAAATATTTTAAAATTGTTTGGAGATCTTTCGCCAAGGACAATATTTAAAATCTTATTTAGAAAATTGGGTCACTCTGATTTTATTAAAAATTTATACAAACAATACTATTACCAATATGAATATAATTTTTTTATTAAAAATACTCAAAATATTTTGTATGAGTTGCCCGGTATTAAATTTTTTTAGTCCAACCCAGCTTGCGGATTGAACTGAGCGTCTCCAATACTTAAAAGGCAGCATAAATATTTTTATTGAGTGATAATATAACGAAATTAATCAATAAAGATACCATGTATTTTTTGTGTTAGAGATGTGCGCAACCGATCAAAACTTATCCCAAAGCCTCGTTTACTGGCCCGTCATTGAAAATAATGTGATAAAAATCTTATAGATAATTATTATTTTTAAATACAAAGAAACATAATTAATTTTAGAGGAAAAATAAAATACGCTATCCATAATATAAAAAGATTGCTTATTTTACAAGTTTTTATATTTCACTTTGGATTTTGTAAACATTTATAATTTTTTCCTGTATTTATATGAATGGCAATAGATTTGTTTAAAATTTTATTAATCCTTTAATACTCTGTTGGGATCTATAGGACTCCAGGCATTTTAGAATTTATATTTCATAAAATCGGTTAATTATTATGATCTGGAATCTTCATTAGTTTCATTAAATATAGCATGGAATATATATTCTAAATTTCATTTATTTTGGTTGAGTACTTTTTAAGTTTAAGAATTTCTTTACTGATGGGGTCTGTGAAACCCAATAGAGTAAATTCGTAAGTTTTTTAAAATCTTAGATATGATAGAAATTTTTTTTAAAATTTCCATTTTATTTAGACGAATAAATAATAGTTTTATGAAATTTATTGGTTTTAATATCCAATAATTTTTATAAGCTCTTAAATTTTGGCATAAGTTATAATTATCTTCAACATTTTTTTAATATAAGCATAGTAAATTAAAATAAATATAAAACAAAATAATGAATATAAATGAAGATATATTTTATAGAAAATGGGATCTATTAGAACCACTAGTGTAATTATGTCATTTTTCACAATATTGAACGGTTAAAATCAGTTCTTTTCATTCTGGGCAAAAGATGTCGAAAAAATTATAAAATATTTTGTAAATTTAAAAAATATTGAGTATGCCCTTCATGATTTACAAACGTGTAGTTTTTAATTAATCACTAATTAAATGAAAACTTACATTTATCAAAAACAATCATTTTTATGCTTCTATTCCTGATCAGGGACCCGAACCGTTATTTATAACGGTTCAGTTTGTACGGTTCAGTATGTAAAAAGTTATAATGGTTACGGTTCTATTTTTTTTTATTGAAACAACACCATCGTCTAATTTATTTTTATTATAAGCATCTATGAATTATATATTACAAAAATATATATGATTCAAAATAACTCATTTTTAAATATATTATTTGAACGTATAAGTAATATATTTTCTAATATAAATGGATTCCTCTTTGCTCGCTGTGACGATAACACAAATTTTACCCCAAAAGGCCCTTTCTACAGAAACTTGTGTTGCGGGAACCGCCATTACTATAAGAGCAAGTTTATATAATTCAGGATATTCAAATTATTTCCATTTCTAAATATAAAAACTGAACCGGTTTAATATTTTTTTATAAAGGTTCTTTTTACCCCTTCAAAAAATAATTATATCGGTTCGGTACGGTTATGGTTCAGATATTTATAACGGTTTAAAATGGTTTAACGGTTCGTTACGGTTCACTCCGGGTCCCTGCTCCTGATACTTCCGAAAGTATAAAGAATGCTGAAATTTTGCCCAAATATAGGTTACCCGAATAGATTATAATCTAAATTTAGTAAAAAATCTAAAGGGACCAGAAACCATGTTTTTTGATCCATAATGACCCTTTTTAAAAAATGTATGCTCGATCCGATATTTTTTTAACCTTAAATGTCGGGCCTGAGCAAATATTTAATATCGGCACAGCTTTAAAAATCATATGACCAAAATTGGCCCATTAAAATTTTTTAACTGGTTTTTTTTGGCCTGTTAATTATTTTATTTAACCCGTTATATATGAGTTACCGAGCCTGGTTTTAAAGATAAGTTATTATGTAAATTTTTGCCAGTCCAGAAATAAGATAAAGTTACTTTTATTTATTAATATACATTTTTTTATCGAATTCTTTTTATGAAATTACTGGATTCGTTTGGCCCGTTAGAATATTAGCAGGAGTCACCTAAATATGATATCACTAGGTCTCCTAACCTCGCTCACACTTAATGTTTTATACCTTATCATTTGATATTTATTTTTTTCGTTATTATTTTTTTTTATAATTTAAAAAGTATCATCCTTCAACGAAAACAGCGCCTCATCTAAAAAGAGAGCCAGAAAATTATCTTCTAAATTAGTGGAATACAACTTGTTGCCCCTCCCTAAAAAGCTCAGTTTTAATTCGCCCAAAAAAGCCGAACAAGGAATTACGGACCCTTTTAAAACTCGATCAACCGTTCAAGTTTTTTTTTCATTCAAACAAATACATATCCCTAATTTATCATCACTTTACCAATTGATCTGAAATTCCATATTTTGAAATATTTGAGATAATTAGAAATCAAAGAAAGAAAGGAAGAAATAAATAAAAAGAAAGGAAGAAATAAATAAAAAGAAAGGAAGAAATAAATAAAAAGAAAGGAAGAAAGAAAAAAAAAGAAAGAATTCTTAATAAACTACCAAACCAAATTACCAACTATTATGTCAAAATTTATAATTATATTTATAATTGGCTCGGCTCATTACTATGTTATCTTTATGCATTTACGGTATAATTTCTAATGTTACCATTTTATAACTTTCCATCACTTTTTGCATAATTTTTGGTCCTTTGGGAAACGCTCCGGGTTACTACATATGGAAAATAAAAATTTAAGATCGATTCCCCCCCCCCCCCTCCATAAATTATGTACCAACACTAGGTGAAACTGTTAAGCATACATTTTGGGTTTAAGAAAAATTATACTGGAACTCTACTATACTATACCTGAACTCTTTATGATCTGATCTTAGTAGATTTTCGTAACTTCTTTTTTGATTTAAAAACATTTAAACTAGTTTTGTTAAAAGTTAATTTTAAAAAGTAACTCGTTACCCTTACAAGATGTATACTTAAATTGGTAACTATACATTTTTAAAAAGTAACCAGTTATAATTGCAAGTTGCACTATAAATTATATATAATTCATCACAGTGTAATATTTATTTGCGCAAGTTATTTTCCTAAAAAATTTAACTTTATTAATTTTTATTTGACTTTACAATAAACTATTTTCAAAATTGACATCTAAAAGGCTTGCTAATTTTTCAAAATATAAGCTCCCCTAGACTAATCAAGTGATTCATTTTATTTTATAAACAGTATTTAAATTTTGGAAATCATAATGTAAAGATAATGAATGATATATATTATTATTAAAGTATCAAGTTTTTTCATCGTTACTTTTTGAAAGTAACTAATTGGAGTTATTTCCTTGCAAAAATGTAACAAGTTACTTTATCAATAATAATGGGCCTATATATAAATTAGAGATGAGATTTACCAGATCTATATTCCTCGCTTTTACCTCAATGAATTAAATAATTTTTCATTACCGTTAAAAATCAAATTTAATGTCTGCTTTTGTGTCTACACTACAGCAAGGGACAAATTTTTTCGACCCAACCTGAACATAAATTTAATTTCACATTCACGATCCAAAAAACAGAATATAAAAAAAATTTACCCTCATTTTTTTTAGTATGTCATAACTTATAACTATAAGAAATAATTTATAAATCAACAAAATTGTAAAATAATACACAATCACCATTCATGACTTATTGATATCACCGATTAAATTTATTATTACAAAAATATTTCCCAACCCGATTCAAATGAAAAAAAATTACTGACTCGACCTAACCCGAAATAAAAATCAATCACAACCATTAGACTGTGGCTTCGAGTTGGGTCGAGTTTTGCAGACCTCTAACACAAACCTTGCCTAAAATATTTTGATTTTTTTGCAATTGATCGGGAGTATTTCTTTGTGTGATATACCAAAATCACGTATCTAATAATAGAAAGCGTTTTTTTAAATATTTATTATTAGGATGTAATATTGTATTAAAATAAATAGCAAATTTATTATTTATAAAAATTTTACATATTTATATATATCAATTTGATTTGCAATAAAAATAGTAAATGTTCGAAAAGATAAATATATATCATAAGATTAATAAAAATCATCATATTAATGAAATTGAAAAATTAATATTTAAACCTAAAATCAACAGTTAAACATTTTAAATATCTTTGATAGTGAAATTCTTACTTCGATGCTGCCACCTATAACCCAATTCTGAGAATACAGAATGCATATTAGTATAGTAGTATAGAAAGGAAATTCTGTCTATGATATATAATGTAAATATTATTTTTCGTTTATCTTTTTGATCATTACGATTAGAGTCCAGCATGGCTATCTTGTAAGCCCAACTCGCAAACTGGTATAACTTTAAAAAAATTAGGCCCATGATCCGTAAAATAATGTCATATTTGAGCCATATTATTCCTTCTTACCCTGATTGAATCTCACTATCAATATATGAATTTAATAAATAATAAATTTAAAAATTCAGTGGGTGGCAAATATTTACTATTCATTTTCTTATCATATTTTTCTAATAAATAAAATAAAATAGATGAAAATTGTTAAATTATCAAAGTTATTGTTGATTATTTAGTTAATTATTTAAATTTAATTCATAACATTTAAAAATAAAAAATATATTTTGTGAGTTGTCCCCTGAATCTTTTTTAAAATTCCCGGACCTAGATCTAACAAAATTTGTCACTGGGTCACGGGCGAGCTCAGCCTAAAAAATTGATTGTGCAGGTTTCTAGGTACGATTGTTTAAATCACGATAGTATGATGAATGAGAATGTTATAGTTATTTCTTCATTCTAATAAAAAAAATCGGAGACGGAGATTATATTTTATTAAATTACTACATAAATTTTTGTAGATTACTTTTTTAATTATTAAATGTTCCTATATCCACTCAAATCAATATTACAATTTTTTTTTAAAATCAATTTTATAGAATTTTATTATATACTATAAATTTTTTGAAAAATACAAAAAAAAAGAATTTTTATAAAAATGGAGATAGAACCCTATACTTATACAATGCCAACAAGAGTGTGGAAATGTTTAAAGTTCTATCTCCATGTTTTAAACTGTAAATAGCTAAAAATATATTAAACCTTCAGTTTTAACAAATGTTGATTGTAGATGAATGTTGAAGCATCCTATATAAATAAAGTGTTAAGCCCTGAAAAAATATAATAATATATTTGGTATTATAGTTCTAAAACTCCCCGTTTAGTCAAAAATATATGTTTTTTTGCCATCTTTTAAGTTTGACATATTTTGGATTAATTCATCATTAGTCATAATAAAGGGATGTATTTTTAGGTTAAATCTAATTCAGTATAAATTATAATGAAAATGGATATTATAGTTTTAGGCTTCAAGTTATTGATAAGGAGATAATTTTAGAGAATGTAGGAGACAAAACAAAATTTTGTTTTTTTATTTTATCAGCCCTATGTCTGAACATTTACTAAATTTGATTTATAAAAAAATTTATACAAATAATTGATAATGGTCATTTTTTAATAATAATTTTCTTTATTTGTCAATAATTAAGTTTTCTTTATCTTAGGTACTGACAAAACTCACTAGCGATCTTTTCTTCATTATTATAGCTTGAATATAATAAATAAGCAGCAAAACATTTTATGTAAATAGTTTGAGTTTTAGAGAAATATATATAAGATTCGAATCGGTAAGAGACATACATTTTCAGAGAATCGGCTTGACCTCAATGTGTCGGTTTTTATTAGGAATACAAACCCTCCCATTATATTTTTTTTACCCCACTCGAATGATTTTTATAAAAAAAATTACCCGCCCTCTTTGGTCCTTCTGTGCTCAAATTAAACAGGCTTGTAAATACTTATAATTTTATTTTTAATTATTAACATATTGTAAATTGTGCATATAAAAACATTGAAAAGGAGGAACATATTAACATAAAAATTGATAATGCGTCATTAACCAATAAACCAATCGAAAATAAAGCTGGCATAATCGACCCTAAATTAAATTCTGACTTAAATATAACTACTGAAGACACCAAGGAATCTATGGACATTAAAGCAAAATCTTTGGCCGAGACGTCCATATCCCAAATAAAGTGATTTAAAATAAAATCATAATATATATAGGCATTACTTTCTTCGATTACCTCACAGAACTAAATATAAATATACGTTTCTAATTTAGCTATTATGTCTAATTTTAATGTTGAATTTAGGGTAAGAATTAGTTAGCAGGAGATTAGGGTTTATGGTACACAGGGGCAAATGTCTATTATGTTCTTTGACCTTGAACTGCTAATTTTAAATGATATTAAAAGATCGTATGGATCACGATATCCTTTAAGTTAGGGTAAGGAAACCCTCTAAAATCACATTTTAATTATTTATAAATTTAATATGCCTGTGCAGTTAGTGACATTAGAATATATATGCCTCATTTTTAACAATCTGAGATGTGAATTATTAATGAGATTATTTGAAGAATAATTTATTGGATTTAACTCACGAAGAATCCCTAAGTTTTGATATAATTATAAATTTTTATTCTCAATTCATCATTTCTTGCTATGTTTGGAAATATGTTAAGTATTTTATAAGTGTCATCCATTTCTATCCATAGATTATTAGAAGATGAGTTAATGATCAAGCAAAGGAGGACCACTACATTTTTCCAAAAATACCTGGAGTACCATTATATTTTATTAGGGAGCGGTAGATAGCTCCTTTTTGGAATGGAATAGAAGAGTTCCACTTATCCACTCCTTTAATTTTATCCATAAATTCTTTAAAAAATAATCTTGATATTAAATGCATTTGTTTAGGGCTGTGTCGATATTAAATTTCGGATCGGCACCGATATTTAACGTTATGAATATATCGAATCGGGCCAATATTTTATTAAAAACCCGATCCGATATGATATTTTTTTAAAATTGTTTTTGTTTATTTTATGATCGTATATATAATCATATATTTTTTTATTTTATAAATAATTTCATAATAATAAATTAATGAAAGAAGCTAAAACACAATTTATTTATTGTTTAGAAATATAGTTTAAAATTTTACACTATTTTTTGTTTTATTATCTGTAACAAGAAAAAGATTTTAAAATGTCTAACGAATCACATTCAGCTAGTGTTTCTAAACGGCTCGATTTAGTCAATTTTAAAAACTAAGATTTTGGCCAAAAATAAATTACTCATGCCTAGTGATTTTATCCACAGATGGCAGTAAGGTTTAGATTTCTATTGGCGAAATTTCGAAGCTTAGGTAATATTTTGGCGAAATGGAGCTGTTTAATAACATTACATTCACCCATGAACATTAACTTTCGGAGAGTAAAAAATATAATACATTTAATTATTTGTTAAAGTTAATTGGTTTTAAAAAAAATAGATATTGATATATTTATGACATTGATACAAAAATAAACGGTAAATAAAAATCAATTGTAAAATATCGGATTGGATCGGTGAAAAATAGATCGGCCCAATTTAAAATATTTGCAATGTTGATGGGTGTGAACAGCTTCATTTAGTCGATTTTTAAAAAGTTTAAATCAAAACTTTAGCCAAAATATTATTACCTAAGCCTCGAAATTTCGTCAATAGAAGTCCAAACCTTTACCAACTGTGGGCAAAATCGATAAAATTGAGTAATTTACTTTTGGCCAAAATCTTGGATTAAATTATTTTAAAAAATTGGCCTAATCGAGCCACTTAACAACACCAGCTGAATGTGACTAGTTAGATATTTCTTGTTGCAAATTATATAACAAAAAATAAAATTTTTAGACATTTGAACAAATTTATTTTATTTTATTTCTTCATTTTATATCAAATTATTTATTGAATAAAAAAAAATAACAGATTATATATGCAGTCATAAAATCAATAACAACAAAAAATATCTGTTCGATTTTTCAAAAAATATCTACCCGATCTAATATTTAAGACACATCCCTAATTTTAAATGAGATTATTAACTTTTGGAGAATAAAAAAAATAAAATACACTTAATGATTTATAAAAGTTAGTTGTTTTTTTAAAATAGAGAATATTGATATTTTTTGATATTGATACAAAGATAGACGATAAATAAAAATCAGTATAAATATTGGAATCGGATTAGTTTTTTAGTAATATCGGATTGGATCAGTGAAAAATTTGTGGATCGGCACAGTCCTAGTTTTAGCCTAATCTGATCGTGATATATAAAAGGATAAACATTTTTAAAAAAACTTTCGTATATTTTAGTCCACGTTAAAGCCTATTACTAATCCTAGAAAATCGTAATACAAGAATGAGACAAATATAGCCTGGGTTAAGAACATAAAAGAAAATAATTGAGAAATTACGTAGTATTAAAAAAATCCTCATAAAAATATATTATTAACATTTAATATTATTTAGGGATCACAATTCTTCCTAATTTTATTACATATATATATTTTTTTATAAGCCTTAATATAAAAAAGGAAGATTTAATGGAGGTAATAAACAACGAGATAGTGGAAATAAAAAAGATGGAAGCCGATCTATTCCAACAACCATTCGCTTCTCTTACAAGTTTATATTACAATTAATAGAAAAATTCTTATATTAAAATTCATCTCACACTTTTTATTTTATATATAGTTAATAAGTTACAACTATGACTTAATAAGCTGGTATCAATTCTCAAATTATTAATACCAAATTCATTGTCAAAATTTTTAAAATATTTATTGAAATTTATTATATAAAGTATATAATGAGTCTAAGTTATCATAATATGCCTAATCTAAATTTAGAAATAAAAAATATCAAATTCGCTTATTTAACATATTACATATTGAAGAAGGAAACGATCATAAATCTGAAAAAAATCATGAAAAACACCTCAAATTGTCATCGAACGTTAGCTATAAAAAGAATTCCCATAATTCTTCGCATCGAACCCCTAATAAAAGTGCAGAACTTAAAAAAGGTTTCTTAGTAATATTTTTTTAAAAATTTTAAGGTTCTTATTTCAAAACCACACAAACACTTTAAAAAATTGATATCTATTTATATACCAAAAGCCTACCTTTCCAATACTGGAGACGCCCCTTTAATTATTCGAGCAGGACCTTTAAATCCTATCTCATTATCGCCATCATCTACCGTCAAAGAACCGGTCTCCTCGACTACTAACACAAATAACCAGAAGGAAAATCAATCGAAAGCTATACCCTTTAACAATGATAAATATTACATATGCCTGCTATGTAAAATGATTGAACCGGCATTTAATAGTTGCTCCAATTACGATAACGAGGATTCTATGGTCAAATGCGTTTCTAAGAATTGTTCAAATACTTATCATAGGAAATGCTTAGGGTTTTGTTCAACAACCCCATCTGATACCTATCTGTGTGATGAATGTACATCTGGTAAGGCATTAAAAAAAATCTATTATACTCTTTAAAATGTATTAGATAACTTGTTGGATTTAGCTTTTCATATTCTAATTACCTAGACAAATTCAAATTTATTTAACATTTTTTGGTCAAAACGATTTCATTATCTATTTTCCTTAACATTCTCATAAAATTAATTTAAGAATTGTGAATCCCTTTTTAATCAACTTTTTATTTTAATACTACTTATCCCAATGTCTTAATCAATTAGCAAATCATAAAGTTATTTGTGATGTGATTATAACTAATTTTCATAATTATTACAGGCCAAAAAATCTTATCTTGTATTTTATTATGATAAGATAAATCTCATTTTTTTATAAAACTCTTTATCTAATAAATTTATTTAACCTTAATGCCCTACAAACATTGTTTTTGCAAATGATTTTTTACCTGATGCATTTATAATTTGAATATATGATATACTATTTATGGTATAGAAATGATCTTTTTTGCTTTTTTAAATAATCCCTATATATGTACAAAAAAACAGGAAAACACCCGTGTTTCGTTTGCAAAAATTATGATACTGAGGCTCAGCCATGTATGTTAGCCTCTTGCGGCAAATATTATCATAAACAATGTATATCTCGCTACCCCCTTACTGTTGTTGATACTAACGGGCTAGTTTGTCCCAGGCATCAATGTGCTACTTGTATCTCGGAAAATTCAAAAAATCCCAGAGCAACTAAAGGTATTTTTTTACAAAAATTGAGGAAGCCAAAATTATGGTTTAAAGGATGACAGGAAGCTAAATTATCCATTTTAAAAGCTTTTTGATGAAAATATTATAATGCGCGATTGTAGAAATAAAAAATGGGATACGAAAATATGCTACCTTGTAATAACGCTCACTTTTTAATTAAATAGTAATCTTTTTCAAAGTTATTTTTTTCTAAAAGAGATTGATTAAATATTGACTTAGATTGGAAGGTACTATGTCACTAAAATAAGCTATATATTCAGCCATAGACCATTTTTTATTTGTATGCATTTTAAAATATATGATATATGAAATTATTAATATTTTAGTGCTGTTGAAAGCCAGAGTTACCTAATATTTACATTATTGTTTAATAACGGAATCACTGATACAAGTGGCCAATACTCAGAAATGATAATTAACCTTTATAAATTAAAAAAAATTTCAGTCATAATTTTGCTAAAATATATAAAAATCATATAAATATCGAAACCAATAAAAGGGAAAAATGCCGTTAATTTCTTAAAATTTTTAAATGAATTTCATAAATAAAAATATGATTATATTTATGAATTATTTATGTTTTTTTTAATAATATACTACATTATTATTTTGATATCGGTGGTATCGGCCAAATCCGTGTTCATATCGGCATTGTAAAAGGTGAATTTAGCGCACCTCGATGTGCCGATTAACCAGCTAAATTGAAGTTTTTTAATAACACTAATTAGTATATAAAATATGCTATATATTTTCAAATTTATAAATAATTGTTCATAATTATTGTCCAATATTCATAATTTACGTCTATCCTTATTTATTACTGTATATATAAAGCGAATTATTAGATATTCGATTCGTATTTTAATCAATAAAGAAAATTTATTATGTGTCGAATAATTTTTATCTATATTCGATATAATTATTTGAAAAATTATTCATGATATATGAAATTATTCTTAAGTATTTAACATATTCTTATGTAATATTTTTTTAAGCTTTATTTCCACATCTATAAATCATTTTTTTTATATTTTACTAAACCATTTTTTCATTTTTGAAAATATTTTAATCAAATAGAAAGAAATAGTAAATTTTAGACATGGAATGTATGAGATTTCTGCATAATCTCTGATGAATAGAATTCAGGGACCCTGAATTAGAAGTCACTGTAACCCATGGGTTTTATATAAGATATTTTTGGCCTAGCCTAGAATATTTTTTGATCGGACCATAAAAATTTTGTAAGTCCGGCGCTGCCCATATTAATTTTTTTAGAAGGAAAAAGTCATAAATTTGGTGAACTTTATAACAATTTGAAATTCTGGCTCCTAGCCAGTAAAAATTAGTGAAGTTGTTTGCCTCGACCTAAACATCTCGTTGAAAAGCCTTTGCATGGCACGGCCTGTCTTTTGGCAGGGCACGCTGGCCTCTATCTTGAATAAAGATATTTTTGCGTTCCGTTCTGGCAATAAATACACAGAACTTTCGAAACGCCACCCCGAAAAAAATATATAATTTAATTATTAATATTTTATTCATTAGTCTTTATCATAAATCTGTATTAAGAGGTCGATGTTAATATAAATTTGGGTACCGAGAAACACTTAAAACAGATTTATTCATTGAATTATACTTATATAATATTTATTTTATAACAAAATAGTTAAAATGTTTTTATTTTTAAATAGCAAATAATGGGTATAATTGTATTATATAAAAATAACAAAGTGGCAATATGTACTTAAAGAAAAATTAATTTTTTAAATCAAATCATTACATATTATTTATCTTTTGTTATGATAATGAAACTATGAATTCCCGTCCATTTTATTTAAAAGATAGTATTTTTTGTTTCAATTATATTATCTTTTTAATAATATAGATTTTTTTCCACATTTTATTTTTAATTTTTTTTCCTTAAGATTTTTTCCCCTAATACTCTTTTTTTTGTCGAGCTGGGATTCATTTTAAATTCATTAATAAACTTTTTATACCATCTTGTAGTTAATTCTTTAGATTTTAAGAAATAAAAATACTTCTTTTAAATCAAGTAGTTATTCTTATTCGAGTTTTAAAATGAATACAAATAAAAATTGTCAATGGCTAAATATATATGATAGGATGTGTTTATGTAATAATAATATTCTTAGTAAAATCTTAATCAAATTAATTAAATATGGATTTGAATGTTTCCTGCACTAAATAATAAACACATTGTAGTTATCTCTTGATTAAATTTTAATTGTATATTTCCATAATGAAGTAAATATTTATTTAACTATTTAAAAGAGAAAAAAATTAATATTTTTCTCAAAATTATATTTGCTACTTAGGGAGATTCTACAATTGCATTCTTTGCCCTTGTACTTACCATTCCACTAAAGAATGCTTAGCTGCCGGAAGTTTCATACTTTCGGATAATTCTATCATCTGCAGTGATCACAATCAACCAGAAAATCACTTGAACGTCGGATGGTGCTTCATATGTTCTAAAGGTTAGTTACAATAAGAGGTCCTCATTACACCATATAATTATAATTGTAATTTATACACAGTGTTGGACAGTAACCCCAATATTTGTATTTAAAATACATTTGTTCAAAACGTATTTGTATTTATATTTAATTACTATTTTTTGAAGTATATTTATATTTATATTCGGATACTCATTTTTGAAAATTTGCCCAAATCTGTTTACACACTGACAATCAGCATTTAACCCTTTTAAAATATGTATTATTCTGATTGATTCCTATGTCATATTTTAAATTCTTATTATGGATTGTGAATTTGCATTTAATGTATCCAAATTAGAGATCTGCATAGCCATTTATTTTATTGGGGTGGGTTGGGGAAAAAAATTAACAATTTAGGAAGGTCAAAAATTTTTTTTGTATATATATTTAATCAATTCTGATATTTAACAGAAGAGATAATCCATAAAGTATAATGTTTTTAAATTAACCACGCCCCAATAAGAAATATGTAAAAAATATTGGCGTCTTGTTTTTTGCAAGAATTTTAAAATATAATAATTTATTTTACAAAATTGAATGATAAAATATTTTAATTTTTAAAAAAATATCAGGCTCAAATCGAAATTATTTTTAATAAATAGGGACAGGCTGATAAACACTAGCCTCTACTAGGATGTGCAAGATTACCAATATTTTCAAGGCTTTCAATACTACAATCTAATATGAAATCAGATATTGTTTTGGTTTTTAAATACTAATAGCTAATAAATAAACAAATTTAATGATATATTGGTTTAAAAGCAACAACATTATTCAAAAATTAATGAATATAGATATCTTATATTTTTAAATTTGCTTACTGAATTTTTTGCTTTATTTCTTGGTTAACGCTAAAAATATGTCTTTATGTATCTAATTTACCAAGCGGATTTTTCTTTTGAATTTATTACAAAATATATTGGTGAAATTATTATTATTTTAGAGACTAGATGATATATCGATCTCTTATCCACATTCGATTTAGAATCGGTGATAGCAATATTTTTGTATCTATGGAAATACATATCAATTATTTATTTAGGATAAAGGAAATCACCCAGCTTACACCCTTTTTGAAAATGATGTTTATTTTTAATACAATCGAGTTCTAATAATAATAAAAAAATATTTATTTTAATTCTTCTGTAAATTATATGGAATAATTAAAACCATAAGCAATACAATATAGAGAAAAGATTGTATAAACCAATACTATAGTTTGAAATCAATACAAATTGGAAGCCAGCCTAGATATATTTTTAAATGGCTTTATTTATTATTCCATAAAGCGGGAATATATTTATATTAATCAACACTTATTTAAAACAAAATATATTTACAACTATATTACCCGTGCAAAAAAAGGTGAAGGAAATGATTTGTTTTGCTGTGATTCCTGTCCTGCAGCATTCCATAAGTCCTGCTTGCCCGGTGTACAAATCCCATCAGAAGGCCTTTGGTGGTGTCCGGACTGTGAAAGTGGCAAAAGACCAGTAGTTGGCGATGTTCTTTGGGTCAAGCTTTCCAGCTATCGGTAATAAATATTTATAATAATCATATTTAATTTGTGTTTTTTATATGGTAGCTTAAAAAAAATAAGTTATGTTAATTATCGATTTGCTCTCTGGTATTAAGCAAGAATCTAAGTTGGTTTCAAACAAAATCCACTGGTATTCTTACAATAAATTATATTTTGATAATTTAAAATTTTTGAAATAAATATTAGTATTAAAGTGTCCTTTTCACTTTGATTTTACTAAAATATTAGTAAATCTTATATATCTATTATTGGCAATATGCATCACTTATTGCCTGATTACATACATTGCCGGTTTATATACTCTTAACTTTTTTTAGACGATTGGGAGCATGTATTTTTTTTAACCTTGGTTCTAAATCTAATAATATGAATTCATATATTTTTCCGTTTTAATATTTATATTCTTCAGAATTTCTTTTCTTATTTACGAATATTCTCCATACATAACACGAGAATTCCGAATTTATGATATTTTGACCCTGTTAAACCCCCCTTCCTTTTCGATTCATATTAAAAATACTATAAATTGTTGTAATTTAAAATTAACACTTCTTTTTAAACATCTAGAGAATATTGAATATTATTAAAATAGTGGAATTAAAATGTAAATACATTGGTTTATATTATCTGTATATAATGTATCTAAAGGAATTGATGAGACCTTAAAATAAATTTAAATCACATAATTAATATTTTCTCGTTTTCATTTTAACTAAAATGTAAAATTTTAAATAACATAACATGTTCATCTAGATGATTTGGAATTGAAATTCATGCACACGCTATCGGCACTAAAAAAAATGCTTTATTTTTTAAACTTTGAAGTTAAAGCCTTGTAAGGTTGGGCAGGTGAGAAAATATGTTTTTATATTCTTCCATATTTTAAGAATTAATAAGAAAAATTAAAAAAAAATCAGAATATGGGTAATTCCATACCAAATCGATAATTTTTCGGCCCGACTTTTTTAATTTCGATAAAATTTTGTATACTGAGAGAATATTTTCGAAAGCATCGAATCCAAAATTTTAGCTTCCTAGTACTCATAGTTCCAGAGATATCAATGGTCAAAAGTGCCAAAAATGACTTTTTTTCTAAAAATACGATTTTTTGAAATTGAGATAAGTTAAAAAATAATGATTTTAAAAATATAAGTTATTTGTCATTTTGTAACTCTATTAAAGGCCTTTTATTAAATATATTAAGGATTTTTTTGAAATAATATTGTTGCGGTTTTTATTTACGTTATAAATTTTAAACATAAAAATTACAGGTGCTTCGCTTTCCAAATTTTTTTGAATTTATTATTTTCCTATTCTCTAACCTTATATCTATTCATAAAAAAAATTTAAACTTGGGACAGCCATGGGTTATTTAGTTATTACAATTCAAAAAATCAAAAAAAATAAATTTTTTTTCAAAAATAGATGGCGCTCCTTTATAAAATAACGTGTTTTATTATAATAATAATTTTTTTAAACCTTTTTTCATTAAACATAAATAATAAGATTTAATATAAGATAATTTAGCTGCGGTTATAATCATTTATAAAAAATTTTAATTTTCGAAAAATTATTTTATAAATTTTGAAGATATAATGGATAAATTAAAATTCATGAAATATATTACCTATTTTCGGTTTTTCATTAAATTTAGTTTTTTTGACACCATGATAATTTCGTTTTGCGATAAATAATATGCACGCCCAGTAGCCGTTGATGGGCTAACTATTGTTAAAATATTATTTTTTGGTATGAAAAGGATATCTTGTGCAGCTGGATAAACAAAAGAATTTGCTGGTCCTTTAGGGTGAAGAAAATTAATTTTTACTTTATCTCTAATTACATTCACCTCTTGTACAAATCCTAACCACGAATTGCTTTCATACGCACATGTTACATGTCCTCTAATCTCATCGATTAACAGATTCTCAATCAAAGGATCCTCACGTGGATATACTAAATTCTCCACAATAAATGTCTGCGAATTAGAATATAGTTTAGTGTTGAGTTTAGTTTAGTTAAACCAATCGGAAACACTGCATGAATTTTTTGTGTCCCGGGTATTGAGAAAGATTTCCTAAATCTCTCACTTAGCCTTATTTCTTTTTCCTCATACTCTGGTATAGTGGCATAAGAAAAATTTATACCTTTTATATGCTCTTCCGCATATTTATAAAATTATAAAGGTGTAATTATTTGATCAGTATAAGGTCTTTGTAAGCTTGCCTCTAACCGTTTTACTGTGCCGCCTATGCCGTCGCAGGCACTTTTATCATGTGCCGTAGGAAATGCCATTCTGCTTGAACACCAAAATCGATTTCATGGTAGAAAACATTGATGATTTTCCTATTTTTATATTGTGCTCCTGAACCATCAGAAAGTAGTGAATTTTTTCTGGTGGAGTGTCGAATGTTTTTTTTTAAAATGAATCAAATGCGATTGGATAAATGGAATGAAACAGTATTATGAATTAAGGATTCCGATATTACCACAAAACTTAGATTGTTTATTTGATCTCCTATTTTATAATAAATTGAGAATGGATGCAACGTAACTTGCGAAGTTGTCCAATGATAACCCTGAATTTCTTCTTGGACAATAAAGAAATAATTTTTTGAAAAGTCACAAATAATTATATAGTGATTATTTTCTAAACTATTCTTAAGGTTATTGTGAAATGAACTTTGTTGTCCACAAATAAATGAATGGCGTATGAGAATATTCATTTTATCGAAAAAATAATTAATAAATTGGTCTGAAGATTGAGAAATAGTCTCCAGTTGTTCTATCTACCGAAACCCAATGTTTAAACGTAATAAGAGCAATATCATTTTTTATAATATTTCGATGCGTCCTTTTAAGAGTGCCGAGCCAGGACATTCGTTGCAGTCACCAAAATAACAGATGGGTAACGGTGGATTGCAAATCATTCTGCCTACCATTTTTAGTCAATGTTGCTAATTCACAGCCTAAAATCATAAGTTTAATATTCTGGTGTATGCTAAAAACGCATATACTATGTGTTCCGCTAGCCCCTGCTAATATACAATTTTTTGGTCTTAAGCTAGCAAATTTCGAAAATCCAATTGTTAAGTTTAAATTACTCGCCTTAAAATGATTATATAATTCTTTCAAATTATTAAGAAAAGAACTAACCTTTTTTGAGCGTTCACTCGTTCCCCCTTTTCAATCATAGATATGCAATCTTTTTTTCCTAGTAATACTCTACTAACTTCATCACTGCAAAATTTCTTTTAAACAATATCAACTGTTTTTTGATTGATATATTTTGCAGGCTTTCGATTTGGAGTGAAAGAATCCCCCTTTCTTCTGATTTTGTAATTATATGCCATATATATAGCGTTGAATGTCGTTTTTATTTTATTTGCGCTCCAATTAGGAGGCAGAATGGTCGGCAATTGAAATTTTTTATTTTTAAATAAATTAGGATATTGTAATTTCATGTTATTGAGTATATCATTATTATTTTTTGTATCCGATTCTGGATCGGCTACTGGGCGTACATATAATTTATCGCAAAACGAAATTATCATGGTGTCAAAAAAACTAAATTTAATGAAAAACCGAAAATAGGTAATATATTTCATGAATTTTAATTTATCCATTATATCTTCAAAATTTATAAAATAATTTTTCGAAAATTAAAATTTTTTAAAAACGATTATAACCGCAGCTAAATAATCTCATTTCATGGTGTTAATGCTGGTAAATCTTATTATTTATGTTTAATGAAAAAAGGTTTAAAAAAATAATAATTATAACAAAACATGTTATTTTATAAAGGAGCGCCATCTATTTTTGAAACAAATTTTTATTTTTTGATTTTTTGAATCCTAATAACTAAATAACCGATGGCTGTCCCAAATTTAAATTTTTTTTATGAATAGATATAAGGTTAGAGAATAAGAAAATATTAAATTCAAAAAAATTTGGAAAGCGAAGCACCTGGAATTTTTATGTTTAAAATTTATAACGTAAATAAAAATAGCAACAATATTATTTCAAAAAAATCCTTAATATATTTAATAAAAGGCCTTTAATAGAGTTACAACATGACATATAACTTATATTTTTAAAACCAATATTTTTTAACTTATCTCAATTTCAAAAAATTGGCACTTTTGACCATTGATATCTCTGGAACTCTGAGTACTAGGAAGCTAAAATTTTGGATTCGATGCTTTCAAATGAAATTCTCTCAGTATACAAAATTTTATCGAAATTAAAAAGGTCGGGCCAAAAAGTTATCGATTTGGTATAAAATTACCCAGATGGGAAATTTTCATATCATATTTTGTAACAAATAGATAAATATCACAAAATTATCAAATTTATTGCTTGAACATTTAAATTTAATGCAAATATTAAAATAGATAAAAATAAATATCTTGATTTTAAGATTTTTCCCTTATACACCTTTTTAAAAATTCGGGCCACGGGCTGGGCTTAAATCTTAAAAATATTTGCCAATGGGGCTCACGAATGTGGTTTGCGTATCTTTATCTGAGGTTCCTTATTTATATTTCAAAATAAGATGAATGAAATATCACAACAAAAATTCTTATACAATAAATAGATCATCTTGAGGCAAGTTCAAAGTAAAAATGAATAAACAAGAACTACTAATCAATAGACCTGAAAGAATCATACAAATAAATAATATTAATATACAAAATGAATTTCCTCAATTATTTACTAAAGAAGTGGGCTGTTTGAAAGATTTTAAGGCACAAATATATATGAAAAACGAGAAACCAATTTTCTGTAAATCACTTCCCATACCATTCACATAAAAAAGAAAAAGTTGAAGAAGATATAGACAGATTGCTAAAAATAGGAGTAATAGAAAAAATTATTCATTCACTTTATGCATCACCCATAGTAATTGTTCAAAAGCAAGATAAAACATTATGAATTTGCGGGGATTTTAAAAGAATCAAAATATTAATATATACCCAATACCAAGAATCCAAGATTTATTAGCCAGTTTGGGAAAAGGAGAAGAATTTTCAATATTGGATCTTTCAAATGCTAGTTTCCAAATTCAAGTGGGGGAAGAGTCTCAAAAATATCTTGTAATCAATTCACATATAGGATTATTTAAATATATTAGACTACCTTTTGGTATATCATCTTCTCCAGCAATATTTCAACGATCCATCTAGAATTTATTAAAAGGTTTTTAAGGAGTAACTTGTTATTTAGATGATATAGAAATAACTTAAAATAGAGAGAAACACTAAAAAAAAGGTACTAAAATGTCTAGACAAAAATTGAACCAAGCTAAAGATATAAAAATGTAAATTTTTCAAACAAAATGTCGAGTACTTTGGATATAATATTTCAAAAAACGGGATTACAACTACCGAAAAAAATACTGAGACAGTAAGAAAAGCACAGAACCAACAAACTCGAAACAATTACAGTCAAGGGTTAGCAACATACTATTCAAAATTTATTTCAAATTTTGCAGACAAAGCCAAACCATTATACAAATTATTAGAAAAGCAGTAGTTTGGAGATGGACAAATGAATGCAAAGACGCGTATAAAAAAAATAAAGCAAGAAATAAGTAGTACTTACAACATTTTATTTAGGAATTTCAGACCAATTGCATTCGCCTCAAGAACACTAAATGCAGCCAACAAAAATTATAGCGAAATAGAAAGAGAAGCTCTATATCAAAGAATTTATTTATGGAAAAATGTTCACATTACAAACAGACAATAAAGCATTAATGTGTTTATTTCACCCAAGAAAAGATATACCAACAACATCTACTGCCAGAATACAAAGATGGGTTTTATTACTAGCAGGTTACCAATATGAAATAAAAATCAAAAGCAGTCGACAACTACCCAATGCTGACACGCTATCTCGATTACCTATACAGGGAACCACGATATCAAAATAAGAAACACTAGATCAAATTCAGGTGGAGAAAAAAACCCTTAAAATGCTTGCGAAACAATGCAAGATGATGTATTCTCTAAAGTATACAAATATACAATAGACGTGTGGCCAATAAAATGATACATGTTTAAAGGAGTATATCCAAAGGAGAGAGGAAATCATAACAAAGAGAGAGGTTGTTTACTGTGGAGAAATGATAATACCACAACAATACCGAAAAAACGTTTTAGATATGATACATCAAGGACATATTGGAATGGTAAAAACGAAGATGAGAGCAAGACAATACGCGTGGTGGCCTAATATTAACAAAGATATGGAAACATGGGTCGAAAAATGTAGAGAATGACAGGAACAACACGATATGCAGACATCAATTCAAAATTGATCAAAACTACCAAAAGCATGGCACCGAGTACATATTGATTATGCTGCACCATTTCAAAACCATTATTGGTTGATAATGATAGATGCTAGCAATCGCTGGCCAGAAATAGTTCCCATGATTAGTACTAACCGAAAGCACGATAAAAATATTAAGAAATATCTTTGCCAGATTCGGATTTCCTAAGATAATCGTTTCTGATAACGGACCACAATTCAGCAGTAAAGAATTCATTGATTTTTGCGAAAAAAATGGAATACAATTAGTGCACGGAAGTCTATACCATCTTCAGACTAATGGCATGGCCTTTAGTTCGAACCTTTAAATAGAGTTGGAATAAAAACGAGGGGATTTAGAAACCAGTTTGATTATTTTTCTCCACAATTTCCGAAATACACCAGGGCCACAAAATGAACAAAGTCCCGAAATACTACTAAAAATTAAACCTAGAGGATTGTTAGACCAAATATTTAAACGGGGGAACAAAAGGAGAAGTTAGAATATTTGACTCAAAAATTCGAGATAAATGAAAAAGTGTAGTCGCGCATTTACAATAATAAAGAAAAAAAATGGAAAAAGCCATTATTAAAAGCATACTTCAGATCGCTACTATATGAAGTAAGTATAGAGGGTAAAACGATTTGATCAATAAGGAAAAGAAGCGAAAATATATTAACTGAAGAGATAAACAAAGAGAACGTATAAACAATAAATGAACCTAAAGGAGAGGGAGGAAAATGATACAAGTCAAAAAGCTGAAGGAAGTATTACACAAAAGTTAGAAACTATAAGCCAAGATCGATATTCGAAAAGAATACGAACGAAACCAATTAGATTGAGGATAAATGTTATATATTGAATTGTTTATTTTGTATTTTTTGAAAAATTTATATTTTCATTAATATATGAATTTGAATAGAAAAAGAAAATGAATGCATTGATAAGGAATTAAATAAAAATATATATTTCAAGAATTACTTCCTCCACAAACTTTGATTCAATTTATTCTCTTATAATATTTTTATTTTTTCAAAAAAAAAATGATTAAAATTACTGCCATCTTTTGTTAAAAATAAATAAAAATTATGGTTAATAAAATATTTGTTATATTTTATTATCCCCATGGATGGCAAGTTGGTGGCCTGGCCGAGTTTGTAACCCTCAAGCCGTTCCTTACAAAGTGCGTATCAAAGCGGGTGGCGATTCACTTTCAGACCTACCGGGCCAATTCCCTGTTTATTTTTTTGGTTCTGGTGATTACTATTGGATTAATAGGACGCGCGTTTTTCTATTCGCTGATGGAGATACCTCGGCTACCAAAGAGTCTTCTTCGAGTCAAGGGAAGAGTTTGAATAAGACCTTCGCCAAAGGTATATCAAATTCAAATGTTCATTTAAAGTTAATCATTGTTAGATGTGGTTGTCCAAAATAACCAGAGTTTAAGATGCACATTAAAATTTGTTTGCTATTTTTTGAAATGTTAAATAAAATGTTAAACATAAATGGAATAGTTAATTATGCAATAAAAAAATTATTTTTCCTGCCTTTCAAAAGATTTAATTATTATAGATAAATCTTTTTAAAATCTCAAAATCGCAATTACTATAAATAACTTTTAAAAAGAGCAACCAAGAAAAATATGTTTGTGGAATATAAATTATTCTAATTAATAATAATAAAATATACATAAATAATAATTTACTAATTCTTTTATATTACATTTTCATACCACATGCTCCCATATACAATTTACAATAACATAATCAAAATTTTAAAATAATAAGTAAAAATTAAAATAATAATTGTATAAAAAATGTACAAGGAAAAAAAATTAATGATTAACATTTTTTCCAAAACAAAATAACTTTCTTTTAAAATTAACCTCTTCTATCTTTTATATGAATTATCTCAATAAACTCTTATCAAATAAATTCTTCATGTAAATTTACGAAAAATTAAATTTACATATACAATAATCACAACACCCTATCACTTAAATTAGACCTAGCATTTTGCAAACCGCCTAAAAATTCTTCCTCAGATTTCATGATCCTGTTTCTCCTAGTGTTGTTAAACGGCTCGTTTTGAGCCGATTTTTAAAAACGGATAACTCAATATTTAACTCAGAAAAATATTACGCAAGCCTGAAGATTTTGCTCATAGAAGGAACAACGGTCTAGGCATATATTCTCGAAATATCGAAGCTTAGGGCAATATTTTTCTGTCTAAAATATTGATTTAGCCGTTTTAAAAAATCGGTTCAAAATGAGCCGTTTAACAACACTAGTTTCTCCATCCACGATTCGTAAATCCTAACAAGCTTGTTACCGATCAACTTTTTCTTTTAAAAGATAATCGATTAATTTTAATTTGTTGTTCCATTACAATCTTTCCTATAATTTGCTTTTGCCTGGATATCGATTCGATTGTTTTTTTTTATCCTTACTTGATCTTGTTTTAAGGTCAAAGGTTATCGCATTTAATTCTGCCTAAAATAATCTATTAAATTGCCTGAATTTTTTCAATTCCTAAAATATTTAAACACTTTTTTTCTCTTAATTTACGTCCTAAATTTATAATACATAAATTATATCAAATAAATTATATATTTATGTAAAATTCTGCCACCCCTTTACCCTGAATGCTGCCCGTCTCCATATATTCATTGAACCATTTGCATATAATCGTCCTTTAGCTATCGATCATCATTTTCTTGTCAACCATGTCTAATGCTAAATTTATATTAAATTCTTTAATTAATCTTTACCTAAAAAAATCTAAATATATACCAAAACATCTTCTTTTTTTTTCATTGTGCATTTATTTCCTAATACTTTATAAAATTTTGGAAGCTCAAGTTTTTAAAGAATAATATCTATTTATTTTATTCTACGCGGCTCACACCCGTTGTTAAAGAAAACTACTGTATATATTTCGCACACACCTTGTTTAAAAACCAATGAAATCCAATCATAATTTTCGCACACATGTCGTTGACATATATTTCTAACGCATTTTTTTTCTTCTGCTTTTCTTAGAATAATGTTGCATAATTGATCTTAAATCTTATTAAAGATCCAAAATAAAATTCCGATCTCTAATTGAGCTCGATTGCGTGAGTTTTCAAATTATGAAAGTCATTTCTCTTTCTGAAGAGTTTGATTAATACAAACTAATATTTTATTAAATATTATCAAATTAAAAAAGCTAAACCTAAATCTTTAATAAAAATTTAATTCTAACATGAACTTATCTTCGAACTATATTTGTCTTTGTCGCTAATCTTATTCTCTGAATATTTTAAATTATAGGATCTTCTTTTAACCAAATTATTTGCATATCCGTTTACCTCCTTACCGAATATTTTCAATTATAATCTTTTTCCCAATCATAAAATTTAATTGCACTGTATCAGCATTATACCAAAATTATCTTCTTTTTTCTTTTGATCTGTCACAGTTGTCTAGAAAATCTGAAACATCTAATAGTTTCAGTATGATTCAGTTGGTTTCTAAGTTTACCAGTATCTTCTCTGATATCTAAAAATTTCAATAATTATCACCTTTTAACAACTGACACAATCTTTATTATCCGCTATAAATGTTGTCGTTATAAATCTTTGTTTTTCATTTAGATAATCTTTAATATTGCTACACAATTTTGTATCTTAATCTTATCAATATTTACAAAATTAGTCTGAGATCTAAATGAGCTTGATTATTTCTTAATTTTCTGTGACGGAAAACCAATCATCTGGGCCTAACATAAAATAAACGCAAATATTTTTGATTAAGCTTGCTAAAAAATTCATTTATTATCAATCATTATTTTAACTTTTTCTCAATAGCTATTAATTTCTTTATATTTTCATCATGTTTCAATATTTAGTTTTCTCTTTAACGTTAATCCTTATTTCTTTTAAAACCTTAATATTTTTCTTATATAAATTTCCTAACAATTGAGTCTCAAAAATTTCTTAATATTTTATATTTCTCGTATCATTTATCTAATCATAAAATTTCTTTTTTCAACATATGTCTTAAGATTTTAATTTATATTCCTCTAAATATTTTTCCTATTTAAAGTAAAATATTTTAACTGATTCACAATATTTCTTTAACATTTTAATTTAAATTGCTCATTTTCTTATATTTTTTAGAATATCCTATTTGGAGTTAATTAAACTGAAGTTATAGGTCATTAGTACTTCCATAATTCGGCACCAACTGTAAAATGAGATTTTTTATATCCATTGTAAAAAGTAAAATGAGATTTTTTATATCCATTGTAAAAAGAAAAATGTATAAATAATTATTTACTAATCCTTTATGCTCCCATACACATTTACAATAACATAATCAAAATTATAAAATAATAAAAAAAATTAAAATAGAAAATTATAAACTATGTAAATGATAAAAAAAGATCGAAGAGGTTAATTTTAGAAGAAAGTTATTTTGTTTTGAAAATGATGTTTATCATTATTTTTTTTTACACAATTATTATTTAGTGGGATAATATAAATTATCTCAAAAAAATTTAACCCAATAAATTTTTGATGTAAATATACGAAAAATTAAATTTACATATACATTATCACATAATAACTTATATATATCTATGATTATTTCCAGGAAATAACTACTATGAATATTTTAATGAATCAAAAATTTCATTAAACTGTAAAATATGCCATGTGTTTAAAGTAAAATAGAATAGAACCGAAATGGGTAAGAAGGAAAAAATAAGTTTAATGAGATGGCACAACTCACTATATTTTGATTTACTCATTATTTTATCAACAGAATTATTTAATTTTTATTTATTTAGATTATGATTCAGAAATTTTATGTGAATACCACATTTAATTTAATTACACGATCATAATAGCAAGATTATTATTTAATAAATTAAATATCGACTTATTTACATTAATTTTGATCCTCTTAATAACATGATTCAAAAGCTCTACAAGAAGCTGCCGAAGAATTTGAAATCCGCAAAACACGGAAATTGGAAAAGCTCAAATTGGAACAAAACAAAATGGCCTCCAAAAAATTTAGACCATTTAAAATGATCAAAGTATAATGATTAATAATGCAGTTATTTTTACACAGTAATCATTTTATTTTAGAACTAAACATTATTTTCATGTTATTTCTATTAGAAATGTCTGGGTTTAGAATTAATTTTTGTCCATTAAGTGATGGATGAAACGAGATATAATTTAAATGTACTTTTTTCAAACATAAAACTAAAATCCTACTTTAAATAAATGTTACAATATCTCTGTGCCGAAATTAAATTTAGAAACTCAAAAAGTTTTTATATATATTATTTCAAAGTTATAAATCTTCCTCAATCTCCATACAAAATTATTAGTAATCAGTAATCTAATTCTAATATAATACAATTCTTACATATTAACATTTTTATACCTACAAAAAGAAGAAACAAATCAAAAAAAAATTAAATTTTATTATAGTGTAATAAACCAATTCCTTCTTCCACGTCTTCCACTTCAATATCGAATTCGAAAGATTCATATTTAAATTTAGAACCACACATATTACTTCGTGATCTACATGCCTGCAATTGTGACCCAAACCAGCCACAACCTTGTTCTGAAGATAACCTCTGTCTTAATAGGTAAAATATAAATGTGATGAAAGAAATATAATATATTTAAAAATAAGGTAAAGTTCTAAATTTTGTATGACCTATAAAGGGGTTTTAAATATTATATAAAATATGGCTACCATATACCCTCTTCTTATTAAAATAGCTTACAAACTAAATAAGTTTGTTGAATAACAATTATAGTCAGGCTATAATGAAATAAGCCAGGTGTGGATCACCATTTTTTTTAGGGAAAAGTATCCAATATTAATGTGATCTAATCTACCATATAACTTTTTTTGTAATTTATAGAATTAGCTTGATCGAATGCCATCCTAAAGTTTGCAAAGCTGGCGACAGATGCCATAATCAAAGATTCGTTAAAAGGGAATACCCCTCAGCAAAACCATATTTGACAAAGGATAACAGAGGCTGGGGCCTTATGACTTTAGTTGATATTAAAAAAGTAATGAATGTCAACAAACTTATAGTGTTTATTAATGGCATATATAAAAATGAATGCAAAGATATTAAAGATCCAAAATTTTTTATAGTTATTTGGAAGCGATTTACAGAGGGTTATGGTATGGTTAATAACTTTATCATAGAACCTTGTTCTTAGTCTATAGTTTAATGATATATGGATCCAACGCCACTTTTGGTCGAAATTATTATCATTAGGGGTCACCTAATTATAGTCCTTTTATTTTAAACTTTATAACATTATTTTTTTATCTCCTGTAAAATTAAGTGGAATCAGTACCATGTAATAATCAAGCCACGGATACTTATTTTTTCAAATAAGAAGTCAATATAAATTAATATGACCTTTATTATTATTTGCTTAATTTTTTTTAATATATAAAACAAGGGCGATTTCGTGAACGAATACGTTGGGGAACTTATTGATGAAACAGAATGTAGAAGGCGTATAGAGATAGCTTACAAGAATAATCTCGATGATTTTTATTTTTTAACCTTGGATAAAGACCGGTTTAGATTATTAGATATTAAGTGTTATTTTTGTTTGATCCATAGACATACACACACTTTATATAACAGAAACCGAGGTACTATTTCCACGGTCTAGCTCGGATTTTTTTAAAAAATTTTCAAGTCCGGCCCTGATATTTTTGAAATATATTTTATTTATTTTTAATTTTTATAGCTAATACTGACGATTTAAAATATAAGGCCCGGGCTGGGTAAAAATCCCTGTCCAGGTATATTTAAAAAAATTAAAATACGGTGTATATATATTTTTTACTAATTATTTTAAGTTAGAGTATTAAGTTTTGGCATATAGAGAGGGTCAGTTAGACCTACCCGAAGCAGGCGTTTCTACACCCCTAAGCTGACTGCATTTAAAAGAATGGAAATTCAACATTCATTCATTCTTCTATTTTATTGACAATGTCTCCTCCTTCAATTTCAATGTTGATCTTGCCACCCCTTCCAATGGCAGAAATTTCCATTCCTCATCCAAATTCTGCAGCCTACCGCATTTTTAACTTTATGCTGAAAAAAATTGTCTGTCATTATGATTTATTAGAAGCCGGATTTATGATCTCGTCTGAGCTCTCGACCCATAAAAAAGCGGGAATTCTAGGCTCGGTAATTGACAACCAAATCCGGGTTCGGTTCATGTTCAGATAATTTTTTTAAAAACGTGCAAGTATAACATGACATTCTTTTTCTTCGTTTGGTGATCTCTTAAAATATAATTGATAGGAAAAAATGTATCGTATTTTAATTCCTAATTATGGGTTTAATCAATATTATTTACATAAAACTAAGAAAATATAAAAATATAATCTTGTATTTTTATTCCGATAATTTGGTAATCATAAACAATGATTTATTAAATAATAATTTGATAATTCATCTTCAAGCATTATTTAAAAGAATTATATTTACATACGCACCTTTTCTTTTATTATATTTTCAAATAAAATTAAAAAACTAAACTTAAGAATTTTGTATTTCTTAATTATCAGCTTTCAATATCTTATATAAAACTGAAAATTAAAATGGTAAAAAATTTGCTAAGTATTGTTACTGAATCGTCCCAAAGGTCTGGTCAACAGATTAATTGTCTAGAGGCAAAGTTATTTTTTATTGATTAACAATGCTGAAAAACTTGCATTACTTTTTAATATTGCAGGTTTAGGCCTATATTATATGTACAACTTGATATTAATTTTAACAAGATTTTTTGCAGGGGAGGAACCGAATAAAGGGATCAAAGATATAAAAGGGATACAGATGAAGACTTTATATACAGATTTTGAAAAAGAGATAATAATTATTTTTATAAAACACTTTATTGAGATTAATATATAAAATTATTATAATTTTATTACCACTAACGAATTATAATAGGATAATAGACGCTGGACCTAAAGGCAATTTATCCAGATTTATGAATCACAATTGTGAACCTAACCTTGAAACGCAAAAATGGACGGTTAATGGTGATATAAGAGTTGGACTCTTTGCTATTAAAGATATACCGGAAGGTTTAGTTAAATAATTTGAATATGAGATCTAGCAAATGTTTTACTTAATAAAAGTATATTAATTTTTTAAACAGCTTGATTTATTATCAGAATTTTTATTCGGTGAGATTTTCAGTTGATTATACTTCATAATGAGTAAGTATAGTTCTACTTCTATCTCCTAAATTAATATGAATACGAACGGTTTAAATTAAAATTGAAGATCAGTTGGATAAATTTCATATTCATATTAAAAATATAATAAATGTTAGTTAAACAGTTTGTCAAACCCTGGTTTCAATTGTTGTAATTTCTTATAATAATAATTTCTAAATGATAATTATATTTATATTTTTTGAAATTATAAATATTATATACACAAAATGAACAATAAACTATTAAAGGATCTGAGTTGACATTTAATTACAACCTGGATTGTTTGGGCAATGAAAAAAAGAAGTGTAAATGTGGTGCAACTAATTGCAGTCGATTTATGGGCGTGAGACCTCCTAAGGTTTTAGCTTATGTTTGATTTTACATGATCTTAAGTTTTTTAATTAATTTTATGTAACATCGTACCTTTTATATTTATGCATTAAATGTTATATTGCCATTTATCTAATGCATAATTTATTTGTACAATATATTATTAATTAGAAAGTTCCGGAGAAAGTATCATTAGTTTCAACTATAACTAACTCTAATTCTACCTCAAAAATATCTTCTTCCCAAGTGGGTCGAAAGATATCTTCCCGTAATTCAACTGCTAGTTCTAAAAAAATTAAACCAAAATCCCTCGATGATCCCCAAAATATTATGGAGAAGTTAGGTATAAATAATTCAAAAGTGGTTCCTAAAGTTTTAGATGAAGAATGTTTTGTATGTGGTGATGTAGGAGAGCTTATTTCTTGTGATCGCGCAACATGTACAAAGGTTTATCACGTCACCTGCGTTCAATTGTCTAGTGTGCCTGCCCAAGGTATTAGCCTTTTAATACATTTTTTATTCTTGCACTTATTATATATCGATTATCAAATAGTAATTCTTATAAAGAAAAAGTTCTATTTCATGGCAATTTTGTTTAACTAAATTTTTTAACTTCCCAAGGCAAATGGACATGCCCAAGACACTTTTGCAGCATTGAAAATTGTACAACATCCGATCAAATTACCTCTTGCCATGAATGTACGATTTCTTTCTGCCCAGAACATTTGGCATCTGGAAAAAATATGATTATAGCTACAGATATACCAAATAATGAAGAGAATAGAAACGGAGATTTGATACCCATTGAACATTCATCAACTTCGACTAATATTATTTTATGCTCTACTGCGGAGGATAGGCATAATGTTTACATACAAGGGCTGCTCGATTTTAGGAAGTTTGTAATTTTTTTAAAAATTTAATTAGTCTATTTAAAGAATTAAATTTAGAACAGATTTTGCCTTTTCGCCCCCATAAATCGTTAATCCTTAAGTCAATCACTTACCAAAAATTCCAAAATGGGTTTGGCCATTTTGTTATTTTTATATTTTCATACATCATCTGAAAATTGTATTTTCCCCTATTGTTTATTTTCAGGGATGGGCAGAATTACTCAAAAATTGTAATTAATTCCTATTTACAATTACATGCAATTTTCGTAATTAATTATAATTAATACTTTGCTTAAGACTAATTAACTAATTACATCTTGATTTCATAAGAAATTATAATTACAATTCATTTTATAATAAAATTAAAGTAGGATTTGAAAAAATCATAAAAAATAACTAGAAACTTTAATAAATAGCATATAATCATATTATAATATTTATTCTTTGTTACAATTTTTTATGCCTGAAAAATATAAAGGTTTTATTCGTTCAATATAACAATGTCATAAGACATTTGCTTATAAATTATATAAACATTATATTTATAAATTTTATGTTAAGAAATGCAATCAAATTCTGTTATCATGTGTAAATATAAATATATAATATGGGCATTAACATTTGAAGCTCTTTTTCTACTAGGGCTTTGCTGATCCACATATTTTTCACCGATTCGATATTTTTCGATATTGATTCAATACAGATCCGATATTTATTTTGATTTTTCAACACCCCCCTTTGAACCAAATGCAATTAAGAAATGAATGTTTTTTATGCAAAAAATCGAATTATGCATATAATTTAATTATTTTATTTCTACAATGATTAAAAAAATTTACGGATATTGGTAGTATAATTTTTCATTATTCCTCCCCGTTAAATAATTCCGCAGATAACGCATTTTGCAAAATTATCTGTAAATATTTCCATAATTCAAGATACCATATTTAAAAAAATTCTTTTATTTAAAGTATAAATAATAAAATTGGTTTATTATTTAAAATAAATAAAACTTTGGGTGTTCCTTTCTATTTTTATAAAAAACTTTTAAAATACTATAAATCTATTTAAATAAATAAATAAAATTTAAGTGTTGTGCATTTGCATTGTTTAAAAAAAATTATTAGAAAATATTATTAATGTAAAATAAATATACAAAATATCAAAAAAGAGAAAAGTAAAAAGATCGGAGGTTTTCCTATTTGGAAAACGCTAAATATCGATGCCGATCCGATATTTAATATCGGCACAGCCCTATTTTCTACCCTAATCAATATTATATATATTTTTGAAAAACGTATTACCTTTTTTTTAAAAAGTTTCCATAAAACTTATTTAGCAAAGTTGAAAAGCTAAAAAAAATTTTCTACACAACAACAATTCTTTCGACTTTTTATAATAAAATTTACAATTAAATCATTAGCTTCTTGATGACATATTTTGGATGACTTTGAAAGAAATCTGGTAGTTTGCTGAATATTTGCTTTTGATGATTCAGTAAAAAAAATTTAAAAGATTGAATTATGTTAATATTGAAGGAAGTTCTTTCTAAAGGAACAAGATTAAACAAAAAGTTAATATTTGAATATACTTTCATATTTTTTAGGAAATTTTTACTGGTGGCTTGATTGGGGTTTTATGATTTGATTGCTGTTATTAAAAAAATGGAATTGAATATAGATAATTTAAATTTATCTTTTACTGAATCTAAGATTGTATTTGAAGAGCAACTATTGGAGTTATCGTTAGAATCCAAGATAAAAGTTAAAGATTCAGGATCACTCATTATGTTTCTGCCAGAAATATGAATGAATGATTGCAATTATTAAGCATTTTTTATAAAAATTAATTAAATTAAAAAATAAATTATAAATGTAATTATGAACTATAACTGCTGATTACATGTCTGCAAAATGTAATTAATTATAAATACTCATTTCTTTTTTAAATAGAATTATTAGTTACTAATCACAAAAAAGGAATTGTAATTATTACATATGTAATTAATTACTCTCCAACCTTATTTATTTTAATTTGAAGTTATTAAGACAAGACATTCTTAAAAATTACGAAAGTATGTGACTAATGTACGTTTTTAGGAAATATGTAAAATTTATAAAAGATTTTCAAAACGAAGATAATTATAGGCCATGAAAAATTTCTCAGAAAACTATATATAAAGTAAAAGAGCATGTCCTGAGGATTTGATTATTACTCGTAAAATATTCCCCACTGAGGTGTATGATGATGCCAATGTCATCTACAAAAAGGTAATGTGTTATATCATCGGCATTACGTGTGATTTTTAATAATTTTTATTTATATATTCTATTTTTTTAGCCGTTATATTATTTCCATCAAAACATATTTTTCTAAATTCGTATATTTAATATAGTATATGACTTAAGGATTAATTTGCGATATTTTAATTTAATCTTGCTTAAATAAAGTTTTAAATGACTTGACCACTTATGAAATGCTATAAACTAGACTATATTCTAAAAATTTTTAAAATATATTTATCGAACATATTTAGAATGGAAATAAAAAAATTGACCAAACCATTGGATCCACCCACCTCATAACTAATACATAAATGTAAAAATGTAACATCTTTATTTCACAGTAATTATTTTAACCACATTTTATAAGCTATTTTTATACACCTACCTAATTATAAAATAATCTCTTTTATACATAGTTCTATTTTTTTAACAATAATTTATTATTAAAAATCATATAATAAATCATCATTAATTTTTTTTTGAATTGAATTGATCATAATTTGATATTATAGCATTATTTATCGTATTAACGACGAAATATTAATTGTATTTACGATAGATATTTGATTCATATTATTAGATTATGTTTTGAATAATTATATTGCATATAAATAAAATCAGTAAAATCCAATTATTGTGTTTATTATAAATTTATATACTTGAACGTTTTAATAGTTTAGGAATAAAGGCATGTAAAAGTAAAAATTGATTACGAGTATTGGCAAGAATGGAAATATAAAATGGGTGCTAATTTTAAAAAATGTTAGCTAATTTTTAGGGGATTTTGCAGAACCCAAAACAGCTTGCGAACGAGTATATATATATCAGAGAACTTTAGAGGTACTGCAGCCCTACCCAGATTTGAAAAAATAAAATTATTCAACGCCGTATTTTTTTCCCAAAGTTCTACTCGGATTTTTTTTAAAAAAAAATCGGTTAAGGTGTTAAAGATTTTTTATGGTTTAAAAAAAACTTAAAATATACCTAATCAGCATTTTATTGATCGTTTTTCAGCTAATATGAAATCCATGTATAATAACTTTTCAAATTACCATATAACCACATGTCATAAACTAGTAAGTTTGAATCACCTCACCTTCCGATATGATATTTGTATTTTCATGCCTCTTGTAATTTAATGTAGTCTTATATAAATATCGGTCATTTTCCAATCCCTCTCTGACAATATACGTGGTTACCTAAATTTGGGGCAGAGTAAAGGAGAGATTAAATGATACTATTCTATAAATTTTTCCTTTAAAAGGTGTACAAAAAGGATTTTCGAAACCATTGGAAAAATAAATATAACCTATTTTAAATTATTATGAAAAGTAATTAACTTAAATCATATCATAATTTATTGTTAAATATTTAACGTTTATAAAGAATTAAATTAATAACCGCACATTATGTTTTATTCCATTAAAATTAAAAAAAATTAAGCAAAAAAGTATAAAATAAAAGTTAAAAAGTGAAAGTACAAAATCTACCCCCCCCCCTTCCTTAAAAATTCCAAATACATAACGTAGAATTTCTTCCACGAGATCTTTTACAAATCGAAGAGTGGTGGGGAATTATTAGGGATGCTTTATCATAATATATGGGTGCTGGGTAGTGTTGTTAATTGCGACTAAAACGACTAATATAGTCGACTAAGTTGATATATTTAGTCAGCATAGTCGACCCATTAATTCTACATGCTTAATCGATTAATTTAGTCGACTAAATCAATTATTTTAGCCTAACCGAACCTGACCACTGTATAGTCGGGGTTAGTTTAGTTCTTCCGACTACTTGATATATCAGAGAAGATAAACCATAGAAAAGTCAAAAATCTTATATTCGCTAATTTTACTAATTTTTTGTTTTTCTTAATTTTTTTGGATCAAATGGCAAAAATATACATGTTAAATTAAAATTTAAATTAGGATGTATCATAGAAAAGTGACAATTGTCATAATCGTTATTTTAGAGTTATATTAAAGTAAATAGGTAAAAATATTTATTTGTAAAGATGTTAAATTAAAATTTCAGTGAAGATGTACCATAGAAAAGTTATAATTGTCATAATCGTTATTTGTGAACTTTTTTGAGTTTTTTTAAAGTAAATAGGTAAAAATATGTTTTGTAAACATGTTAAATTAATATTTCAGTCAAAGTGTACTATAGAAAAGTGACAATTGTCATACTCGTTATTTTTGAACTTTTAAGTTTTTTTTAAGTAAATAGGTAAAAATATGTTTGGTAAACATGTTAAATTAATATTTCAGTGTAAGTGAACTATAGAAAAGTGACAATTGTCATAATCGATATTTATAATCTTGAATTTTTTTTAAAAAAATAAGTAAAAATATATATTTGTAGAGATGATAAATTAAAATTTCAGTGAAGTTATACCATAGAAAAGTGATAATTGTCATAATCGTTGTTTTTGAACTTTTTTTAAAACTAATAGCTAAAAATATTTTTTGTAACCATATTAAATTAAAATTTCAGTGAAGATGTACCATAAAAAGTGACAATTGTCATAATCGTTATTTGTGAACTTTTGTGAATTTTTTAAAAGTAAATAGATAAAATATATATCGTAAGCATGTTAAGTTACAGTGATGATACCATAGATAAGTGACAATTGTCATAAGCGTTATTTGTGAACCTTTTTGAATTTTTTCAAAGAAAATAGGTAAAAATATATATAGTAAACAAATTTTTTTAAAGTATATAGGTAAAAATATATATTGTAAAGATGTTAAAATAAAATTTCAGTGAAAATGTACTATCATAGAAAAATATCAATTGTCATAATCGTTATTTTTGAACTTTTTCAAAGCAAATGGGTAAACATATTTAGTGTAAACATGTTAAGTTAAAATTTCAGTGAGGATGTACCATAGAAAAGTGAAAATTGTCATAATCGTTACTTGTGAACTTTTTTGAAATTTTTCAAAGCAAATAGGTAAAAATATTTATTGTAAACATGTTAAGTTTAAATTTCAGTGAAGATGTACTATAGAAAAGTGACAATTGTCATAATATTTATCTTTCAACCTTTTTGAATTTTTTTAAAGCAAACTGATATATAAATTGTAAACATGTTATATTAAAATTTCAGTGAAGATACCACAGAAAAGTGACAATTGTATTTTTAAACTTTTTTGAATTTTTTCAAAGCAAATAGGTAAAAATATATATTGTAAACATGTTAAGTTAAATTTTCAGTGAAGATATACCATAGAAAAGTTACAATTGTCATAATCGTTATTTTTAAATTTTTTGCTGAAACGAGCTGACTTTTAGCCTACGCCCCTTTATCTTATTGGGCGAGCTAGCTTAATAATATTAAAAATTTTTTACTTTTATTTGTTGTTTAAAATTTATTAGGTAAACATTAAAAAATATATGCTTCATAAAATTTTTACATTTTTAATACCAAAGTACAGATAACTGTTGTGGATGTTATATTTGGGAGAAGCTAATGAAATTAAAAAACTTCTTAGATTTGATTTGCATGGAAGAATATAACATCGACGTGAATAAAAATATGATTTCACCCGTTTTCCCAAAAGCAAAGAAAGTTCACTTATTAAATTTTAAATGCAATGTTTGAAATAGGTAGCATCCCCGTCAAGATCAAATCATAACAGAAGAGTAGATGAGGTTAATAGAGGAGAGCACACTTTTTAATCATATAACAAAATATTTAAATTTAGTAAGGAGATTGATTTGTAAATCTACAATTATACCAGTGTTGTTAAAAGTCTCGTTTTGAGCCGATTTTTAAAAACGACTAACTCAATATCTTAACTAGAAAAATATAGACTAAACCTCAAAATTTCACTAATATATGCCTAGACTTTTGTGCCTTCTACGAACAAAATCTTCAGACTTGCATAATATTTTTCCGGATAATAATTGAGTTATAGTGCGCACAAATTGAGCGTTTGCGTTTTGCCGTTTAATAAAAAAAACGTGACGGAAAAGATGTTAGCATTATATTTATTGACAAAACATAAAAGAAGGAGGAAAAACATCTCAAATATGACAATTATTCTCTAAGTTTATTACACTTAATTATCCTATATTTCATAAAAGATATTTAATAGCTGGTATGTTCTTTTTACAATTATGTTGCATACATAGTTAAATCAGTATGCAGGGCAATTTGGAATGCTGCCAAAGATATTTACATGCTAAAGTCTTCAAGAAAGGATTGGAGAAGAGTACGTTAAATTTATATATTCTAATAATTTAATATATAATTACTTAGATTTCCCAAGAGTTCCTGATCTATTCAGGGTTCCTCAATTGTATTGTTGCCTTGGATGGGAAATATATTTATATAAAATATCCTCCCAATAGTAGATTGAAGTGTTTTATTAAATAAGTAAAATAGGTAAAGTAAGTAAAAGTATATTTAATATAAAATATCACGTATATATATATAATGAATTCAATCCTTCAGGTTATGTAATTTATAAACGAAAAGTTAATATTATATTCAATTTAAATTCAATTTACAATTACATTTATATTACAGTTCTCCCCACTATAAATTGAATTCATCGTGATAACGTAGTGGGGGTTTCGAAACTCTTTTTCAAGAGTTGTATTCTCATGTTCTGCCTTTTCCACTTCTTCGGTCAACGTAACGGGTATTTCCTTCTCTTGTGTATGTGCATCCCTCAATTGATCTGCATGCTTGTTTTTAACGATCCCCTCTGATTCCACATCGTACAATATTGCTCTTTTTCGTTGTAACACTTTTCCTTCATGCCACCCTGCTGTCCTTTCGTTTGCTATCCAAACTTTTTGCTGCTCTTCAAACTCCCTAGGTTCAACACTTCTATCTTTGTAGTACTTTTGTTTCCATAGAGCGTTTTCCGTCCTTTCTCTCGTTGATAATTTCCACTGATCTAATGTCGTCCTAAGCGACCTTCCAAACATCATCTCGGCAGGGGATTTACCAGTAGTTGCATTGGGAGTATTACGGTGCTAAATTTAACTGGTCCGGAGTCCCACATCTCCTTCCAGCATAGAAACGCGTCTTTATCGTCCGTATATATCGTTCAGCCAAACCATTCGATTTGGGGCTATAAGGGGCCGATCTAAAATGTTTTATATTGTTTATCCAGTAAACTGAGTACCGTTATCTGAGACAATGTAGCGAGGTAACCCAAATCTAGCGAAATAATTATGCAGATTATTTATTACACTCGCCGAATTAATATGTGTTAAAATTGCAACTTCAACCCATTTGGTAAAAGCGTCTACGCAAATTAACCAATACTTTCCAGATATGGGGCCTGTCAAATCAATGTGTAATCGTTCCCAAGGTCGGGTAGGAATGTTCCAATTGTATAATGGCACTTCTTTAGCTCCCGGCCTTCCTTCTTGACAACTCTTACAACATTTAACAAAGTCTTCAACATCAGTATCGAGATTTGTCCAAAAAACGTAATATCTACACAATGATTTCATCCCTACTATCCCAGGATGTCCTCGATGAATCACATATAAAACCTCCTTTTTTAAAATATCTGGGATAATAATTCTATCATTATAAAATAATAATCCTTCTTCGAACGAACTATTATCTTTAATCTTGGTTTTTGCTTTCTCTACCCCCAAACGGGACAGAGCATCGGCACATTTGTTATGATTACCTGGTCTATATATTATCTCATAATCATAATTTAATAGTTTCGTCGCCCACCGTATTAAACGGTTATTTGTTATTTTGTTAAGATCTCTTTTATCACCTAAAATATATTGTAATGGTTTATGATCAGTAAGATAAAATGTCTTCCAAAAATATATTGATGAAACTTCTCGATAGCGAACATGATCGCCGAAGCCTCCCGATCAATTGTGGCATAATTCTTTTCAGCCGCCGAAAGTGTCCTCGATGCGTAAGCAATCGGTTTCTCCTGGCCAGTAAGAAATCGATGTGCAATAACAGCTCCTAGACCATCTTCGGAAGCGTCACAAGAAATCACGACAGGGATATCGGCTGAATAAGGAATTATTGTATCTTCTTTTGACAATATATTTTTAACTTTAGTAAATATTTCATTTTCTTTAGCTGACCAAAATAAACCAACATTTTTACTCGTTAGTCGGTGTAAAGGCGCACAAATAGAATGCAAATTTTTAATAAATGCCTCATGATAATTCACTATTCCAAGAAATGAACGTAGTTCTTTAACATTGGAAGGTGTTTTAAAATTTTTTATATCGCTAATCTTATCTTCTTTAGGGTGAATTCCGAAACTGTCAATAACATGACCTAAATAAGTGACTGACTTTTCTCCGATTTTAATTTTATCGGTCGTCGTGGTCAGTCCAGCCTTCTCAAATCTTCTTAATACTTCTTCCAAATTAACTATGTGATCGGAATTATTCTCACCTGCAATAATTATGTCGTCTAAAAATACACTAACCATAGGAATTCCCTTTAATAGGTTTTTCATAAAGCGTTGGAATATTATCGGAGCGCTAGTCAAACCAAATGGAATTCTTTGGTATCGGTAATAACCGACATGTGTCGAAATTACTAAAAGGTCCCTACATTCTGGACTAACTCCGAATTGTAAAAATGCATCTCTTAAATCTATTGTTGAAAATATTTTACCACCCGCGATTCTTATTTGTTAGGTCGACGAAAGTTGGTAGTAAATCGTTATCGATCGCTAGATATTTGTTGATTGTTAAACGAAAAATCTCCGCATATCCGTACGGCACTGGATTTCTTTAAGATATTAACCGTTGGCGTAGCCCAAGTGATTGGAGTTATTGTTGGATCCACCTTCTCAATAACGCCTTCGTCTAAAAGTCTGTCCAACTCAGCTTCAATGGTTCGACGCAACGGAAAAGGAACTCTTCTTGCTGGTAATGCAATCGGTAACGTGTTCGGTTCTATTCGGATGACTGCCTTTTGCAGTTTGATTTCACCTAATTTTTTTTTAAAAAACTTGAGGGAATCTTGAAGCAATCGTATTTAAAGAGGGAACATTCATATTTATTTTATTAATACGAACTTCTTCCGGTAGTTTTATATCAAATTCTCTAATGAAAGGCATCCCAAAAATAAGGGAATTCTCCCCTTTAACTACCCAAATAAGTATAAATTTCGAAATATTTTTTACTTTGACTTCTACGGTACATTTACCTAGTACTTCGATTTGGATATGATTATATCCCACTAATTTATAAGCCGGTGATAGTTGTGGTCTGCCAATACGATTCCAGGTGACCTCATCAATCACACTACACGCGGCGCCGGCATCAAACTCCATAGCTAGCTGCAACCCATTTATCTTGGCATCGATGGTTGCTTTATTTGAAAATGACAGGCGAGGTGTCCGTGGCAGAATCATTTGTATGGCATAGCTTCTACAATCTTTCGCTATGTGGTTTGCCTTACCGCAACGAAAGCATATCACTTACTTTTGAATAGAGTTAGGTTTGATACTAGGTCTATAATTATTATTAGGAATATAATTGTTACTAAAGTGTTTATTATTATTGAATCTATTGACGTTTGTATAATTATTATTTCTAAAATAATTATTTTTCGAACCCTGTGTTGGCTTATTTTTAATTATTTTATTAACTTCAGTCTGGGTTTCATTTTCCAACGAAGACAGCGCGATCGCTAAACGCACGGTCTCTTCAAAAGTAATATTGCCTTCGATATACTTTGACCGAAGTTCTTTGTCCAACTCAGGTAAGCCTACTCCTAGGATAAATATATCTCTTAAAAGTTCATCAAAAGGCGGTTTAAAATTACAAAGAGAACAGACAGTTTTAACCCTAATTGAAAAGTCAATAATCGTCTCACTGCATCTTTTTAACGTAAAAATTTTTTTCCTATTTACGAAAATGCTCGAACTATCCTTGAACACCAAATTTTTTTTATTAAAGTAACATAATTTATCATCTCTAAATTTATTGGAAAGTGAAAGTTCTTAATTTTGATAAGATTTTCTGTTCCGATATAGGCTAAAAGCAGGTCTTTTTTTGTATTTAAATCTATAATATTTCTTACTTTATAAATTAACTCCAAGTTAAATAAGTAGTCCTGAATATTTACTTTTTCTTTGACGAATTCTGGAATATGGAATTTAATAGGAACTACTTCCATTGAGTCTTTAACTTTAATAGGAACTACTTCCATTGAATCTTCAACTTTAATAGGAGCTACTTCCATTGAGTCTTTTACTTTAAATTTAATAAATCAAATAAATCTTCTCTAAAAATATCGTCGCCAATGAAGTGTTTTATTAAATAAGTAAAATAGGTAAAGTAAGTAAAAGTATATTTAATACAAAATACGTATATATATATAATGAATTCAATTCTTCAGGTTATGTAATTTACAAACGAAAAGTTAATATTATATTCAATTAAAATTCAATTTACAATTACATTTATATTACATAGATCTTAATTTTTTTGTTACAAACATAGATTCACAATAGTTTTGTTGGCCTTAACAGACATAAATAGATAATTTGCTACATAATATAATAATAAGCAATGAAGGAATAGGTGCACAAAAATTTTGGTACCTTATGTTGTGTGTGTTAGAATTAATTTGCATAAAGATTTCTTTTGGATTTTGTTGTACTTTATATGTAATTTGCATAAAGAATTTTTGTGGATTTATTGTTATAACGCGTGATAAAAAGATTATATTTGAATAGTTATGATTATAAGAAGATTGAAAAGAGTATAAAAAGGCAAATTGTTACGATACAAATAATCTTTGTTTTTTTTTAATTATTAATTTTTTTAATTATATTTTATTTTATTTTATTTTTTTATGATTTTTACTATTATAATTTTGAATAAAGAATTAAAGTTGATTTTATGATTTCGTGATTCCTAATTATTATTAATTTCCTTTTTATATATATATTTGTTTTCTATTTTTATATTTAGGTTTTGATGCACAATGACAAACTTGTCGTTGTGAGTCGGAGGAGACCGGCCCTTTACAACCTTCAGTCTGTGACCGGTGGGACAACAAGGAGATGTGTCAAACTGTATTCTAATAAATAAAAAAAAATTCCAGAAGAACGTAAGAAAAATATGTAAATAAAGATGAAAAGGAAAAATTATGTTGTTAAGATTATGTTTATGCAAATTGTTATAAATCCGAACTTACCTCAGGGTGTTTAATCAGTAGTGGGAGAGCAATTAAGAATCCAAAGTTTGTTAAATCTTTTCTTTATTAACTCTTTCCTTTTTTATTAATTTTATTTTCAAAATATCATCCGATTAATAATGTGTAAAAAACAATTGCTATTTATATAGTAAAATTATAATCTTTGGAAGAAAAAATACATAAAATAAAATCCATCATTTAAATTAATCTTGTTACATAAACTATAAAAAAAATGAAAAATTTGTTTTGCATAAAATAAAATCCATCATTTAAATTAATCTTGTTACATAAACTATAAAAACAAAGTAAAATTTGTTTTGCATAACATAAAATCCATCATTTAAATTATCTTTGTTCCATAAATATACTTTGCATAATCCAACATCTCCCCCCTTTAAACTTCCCTTAACTCCATCGTGTTTGCCGATGCTACCATGTTCCTCCCTGGTTCATTCGAATTACTATTCGTTGTCAACTCTATACTTGGGCAAAACCTAAGTTTGTGTTCACCCCCGCACGCCCAGCATTCCACTCTCCTTCTTGTGCTATACGGCGCTATTCTGCGACCCCCTCTCGTTGGCGTTTCTTGTAGCCAATCTCCGTATCTTTGTTTCGCTTCGTTCCTAGCGGCTTCTACCCATTTGTTGGATTCTTCTGAACCGTCAACCTCTCTTATCTCTATCTTCATTACCTGGTTACCCACTCTAACATAGGAGGCCATCTAAATAAAATACTTTATACACATATATATATATATTCTTCGACTCTTATTTCT